TAAATTTTGGGTATTTTTCTTCGCAATTTCCAAACCATGGAGAGATACCCCAAGACAAATCATATTGAAAAAAGTAGAAATGCAAGTAGGAATAATAAAAGTTAGAAGTAACGCATCTGCATTTCCCACCCAACATGTACCCCGTGCTCCATATTGCATTTCAAATGAAGAAAGATTGATATCAAGAGTATAACTCACCGAAACAATGACGAAAGGCAGCCCCCAACCTATAACAGAGTATCTGACAAACAAACTATTGTTCATGAATTCCCGCTTGAGAGTTTTGGAGCAAACGGCCAGGGTTTTCACCAGATCAAAAGCTAATACGCTTGACCAAGAGAATATGCAAAGCCATAAATAATGTAAAGATAAAGCAAACCAGAAACAGACTTCTGGTGGCAAAAAAGATGGAAGAATAAAACCAAATTGTGCGAAAAACCAAGATAAAGAAAACGAGAGAAAACATTTTGCTGGGCAAGTCTGTATCCCTCTAATCATAATTTGAAGAAGAATTGAAAGCAAAAGGCAAGATAATGATATAGAAAAGAATACCAATGTCAAAATCAAAGTTAATGTATACTTTTCAGAATTTGTTTTTTCAGTGTGACAAATATACAAAATTGAATTGATAATTAGATATTGTTTACTATTTAAAATGGTAGAACTTAAATTAAAGTAGACAAAATTGTTGACTATTTGGTATGTGTCAGACTCATATGAAGTAAGAAATGATGAACATTCTAAAATATTATTCATTCTACAGAAGTAAAAATGTCCATTTGTAAACTTTAAGGTTGTATTAGGATATTTGGTTATTATGACAGTTAATGAAAAACGAATCCTAGACAAAGGGACGGAAATTAACTTCCGCTTAAAAACAACATCAAGAGATCCATTCCATGAAACGGAGAATTCATCCGTCGTGAAACTCTCAAGAATACCCCTATCACAATTTAGTGACTGGCTCGGAGGAAAATTTTGTAAAATAAATGAATCTGATGAAGTATTCATTTCGGAAAATATTTCTGTTAAATGTTTCATATTCTTTTGAAAAACATCTGTGTCATCGACACCTAATCTGATTAGAGACATTTTCTCTATATCAAATGAAGAATTCATATTTTCATGTAAAATATAAACATCAGTGCGATAAAAGGTTTCCAGCGAATTAGGAACTTTCGGCTTACGTATAAATTCATAACTTGACTCATTGTGAATACATCTTTGCTCTTCTCTGAAAAATCCTACTGGACAGATTAAATTAGAACACAGCCCAGTTACTTGGTCATATGTCAAGCCTGGGGAACACTTATTTGCAGTATTGCTGATTTCAATATCCTCTCCAGTAAAACGGAATAAGATATTCATGTCCATTTCAGCAGGTACCCCTTTGTTAGGATGACTATCAATGACTGGCTCCAGTTGTGAAATATTGTGTCGGACTGCCAGAGCACAGTGCTTATTTCTGAAATATATCTTCTCATTTTTATCAAACAGAAGAGAAATGTAGCCATTGCATAGATTATGATCCGTACTCTTATTTGATAAAAACATCGACCCAGGGGATACATTTGACGTGTTTGTGTCGAGACAGTATCGAAGGTTTCCCTCTTCTTTGAGAGTATAAACCAGTGCACAATGTTCAGATAGTCTTTGAATGTCAAATTTGGGGATGCATTTATATTTCTTTGGACAATGCACAGAAGAGTCCCAAAGTAACATATCTCTTTTCTTATACCCATGACAGAGTGCACAGAAGGGATTTATAAACATTAAATGGTGTATCCCTGACTTGACGGAAGTTATAATATTCAGAATTTTATAACCTGATGAACATTTTGCATTAAGATTGCCGACGTAATGAGATGGACATTGATTAATTAATTTAACAGTAATTATTTTTGTCTGATTTCCAGTGATATTCTTTGCCTCTATCGAAAAGCATCCACTGTAGGTGTTAACTTGTAGCATATAGTCAGATTCCGAATTACTGTAATTCGTTGTTGATTTATTTGAAATTTGTTGAAGAAAAAGCTCTTTATCGAAGCTATCCTCGCAACAATCGTGGAACAGATTGCACTGTCTATCACAAGCGCAGTATCGAATGACATGTTTTTTGCCTGTGCAACTCCATTCATCTCTAATTCCAGGGTCACATTTAAGATAAGGGCAATCTGAAATTAAGCAAACATATGTAAATTTTTGAAATAAAAATACATTTGATAAAATCAAGGATTACAAGATTTGAATAATTCAAATACTAGTAAATGTATCTTAATATAATTAAAATTCCATGAAACGAATGGGTTCTACAATGGTAAATTTGCAAACCTGAAATGTTCCCTTGATTCCTTAATAATGTTGTATTAGATGATATGGAAAATGATTTAATCGGATAAAAAGACCCTGTAGTTTCAAACGTGGCAGCTTGAATATTATCTAAACCGTAAAGGAAACCTAAAATTCGGAAAATCATGTTATTTTTTTAATCGTAAAGAAAGCAATTTTCGGTTGCAGAGAAAAGAGTGAGGATATGTATTTAAAAAAATCTGTCATTTGAAAAAGAAATTATTTACTCAATAATAACTTGGCGTTGCTGTTATTTTATTATTTCATATATTTTTTAAATAGTATATGTAAATTATTACAAACATTTTACAATTAATATCCAGAATATTAGAAATTCATTCAGATACTGGTATATGGCAGAATGAAAAAAAAAACTATTCTACAAAATTGTATCACAAGTACATGTTCAACTCACCAAAAAATATAATGAAGATCCGCCTTACGAACATTTTAAAAATAAGCGTCCCCCCACATTTCATAATTTTATAAAGAAATACCCCATTATCACCAGATGGGACATTAATGTGCTTCGTGTTTGCTTTGTTCAGTCTAGGGTTTTGTCAATAAATTAGGAAGTTCAGAAAAAAAAATTCATCCAATTTTTCAAGTATTATACCATATAGCTCGATGAATTAAGTGCATTATGTTGGCGCTTATTCTTCTGAGTAAATACATTACCATTAAGATAAATTTTATCATTTAAAACTCCGGATATTTCATAATTATATAACACTGAGACAGATATTTGTTCGAACAATGGCCATGTTTCTAGATTTATTTCACGTGTTCTATACTTTTATACCGTCCACGGTAGCCTAGTGGTAGAGCCTTCGATTCGTGAACGGGAGGCCCGGGTTCGATTCTCGTTCGCGGCACCGCGTCATACCTCATGCGTAAAAATATAGGCAGTGACTGTTCCTTCGCCAAGCGCTCGGCACTAGAAGTGAATACATTTAGGTCTCGTATCACGGTAGGCATTGGCACGATAAAAAATCCTTACTGCTCAATGGCCCTGAGTGCCGAGTATAGGTCTAAATTTGAAGCCCTTCATCGCCATACGGTGACGTCTCCATATGAGTGAAACATTCTCGAGAGGGACTTAAACAATAAACAATCAATCAATCTACACTTTTATTTTTTTTCTCTATACAAAATCCTTGTTTTGATACGGTTGAACATTGTATGTACGGGTGTGCTTGAAAGCATTTATAATTTCATTTGAAGGGTGGATCTCACTAATCATTATCAAACAGATATGTTCAGAATAAGAGAGTACTAGTAGTACAAACGCAGCAGAACTTATCCAACCTCACGTACTTACCAATATAGAATCTGCAAGGTAAGAAAGTTAAAAAAAAAAAAAGCCTTATTGTGAGATAAATAATTAGAAGTAGTTTTTGAAATTGCTACAAAAATATATTGAATATTGATAAAATATATATTTTGGTGACTTATTTTAACTCTTAATAACACAACAAAGGTAATTTGGAAGATCACCTTTGAAATAAAATCAAACTGGACAGCGCTGATCATTTTTGAACAAATGGTTTCTTTGAAATTAAGCTTAATGCAAATTTAAGGAAATTTATGTCAAAGTGAAGGGGAAGGTCAATGTAAAAAAAATTAAGCTAGACAAAAAATATCAATATAAATGAGATCAAGTAAAAGGAATGGTCAAGAACAAGAAATATTGCTTTCATTAATATATTTTAGCTTATAAGGCTTAATATAAGTTTCTCGGAAATTGAGCTGAATATAACCTGTATAAATTAAAGAAAAAGAAGTCAAGGTAAAAGAAATGGTGATGCAGTTGGAATTATCTCATCAATATACACGAGTATGTAAATACATGTAAAAGTTTCTTGAACAGTTTTTATCAAATTAGACTAAACCAATTTCTCTTTAAAATTAAGTCAAGGTAAAAGAAAGGTCAGGGTCAAAAATGTGATTTTTTAAAATAGCTATCAATGTGTCTATATTATAATAATACAAAAAGAGGTTAAATGTTCCTTTGAAAAGGAGCTAAACGCACAAAGTATATTATATTAATGGTAGACAAAAAGAGTTTGTTAAATTAATTCTTTGAAAAGGAGCTAAACGCACGAAGGGTAATATAAAATGAAAGCCAGATATACAAATGATGTATAGATGTGCCTCTTCTGTTTATACAAGTAGTCACACCAAATATGAATCCTTTTGAGAGATTCAGTGGTCTCCTTAATCCCAAATACACCCAGAAATGTAATTTCGATATTTTACTCAGTTTTTACTTTATGTTAGTGCCACGATAATGTTAGCAGGGAAATGACAACAAAATGTTTGTTTTAACCTTTATTTTGGCGAACATTGGCCGTGGCATAGTAATTTGTGGGATGCCAATTAATACACACAACTTTTGGGCAAACCCACACAAATTCAACAAAATTCATCAACACAAACAAGTCATATGTGCAAAAAATGACCACCCCGGGTAAACCGCGGGTGGTTACTTATTTAAGGTTACTTATTTAAGTGTAATTAGTTATATGCACAATTCAAGCACAAAACAAATTATATCAACATATCAGCAAATATTTTACATATAAAATGGTTCAACATTTCAACCCCCTTCACAGTTCAATGGTGAAAACTTCACAACAATACAAAGTTTATTATGCTGTAGGCCTCAGTTGCTTTGGTGTGCGCAAACGCCATTCCTGTAAGGTTATGCCACGACATATTTCACGAAGACGACATCCAGTGCAACAGATTCTGTAAAATAAAAAGAAAAAGCCAGCACAACTAACCAAATTTGCAATAATTTAAACTCCAAATTATGGGAATGGGTGGGTGGGATATTTAAGGCAATTCATCGCAAAATTTTTCTTACAAATATTATGAAAAAACTTGACAAAGAAATATTCAACCTACTCTGTATCCAGCAAGTTGATGAAAAGAATGTTGATCCCGAGCTTTCCGACTTATATATACCCAAGGCCGCAGGCCGATCCCGACCAAAAAATTAATACCTTTTCCCAAGTTGATGAAAAAGTCATCTGATTTTATATGCATAAAATAGATGATATTATTTATACAGGGAAATGACAACAAAATGTTTGTTTTAACCTTTATTTTGGCGAACATTGGCCGTGGCATAGTAATTTGTGGGATGCCAATTAATACACACAACTTTTGGGCAAACCCACACAAATTCAACAAAATTCATCAACACAAACAAGTCATATGTGCAAAAAATGACCACCCCGGGTAAACCGCGGGTGGTTACTTATTTAAGGTTACTTATTTAAGTGTAATTAGTTATATGCACAATTCAAGCACAAAACAAATTATATCAACATATCAGCAAATATTTTACATATAAAATGGTTCAACATTTCAACCCCCTTCACAGTTCAATGGTGAAAACTTCACAACAATACAAAGTTTATGTAGGCCTCAGTTGCTTTGGTGTGCGCAAACGCCACATGACAGCGAACAACCGAAGGAGAGTTCGCAGTCATCCCACACATGGGGGAGCACCCAAGCAACTGACAAAAAGCCCCCACGGACCAATGTTCTTGATGTTTTGTTTAAGGATACACATTTCCTTGCTTTGACAGGAAAAATTCTAACCCCCCTTGGATATTATTTAGAAAGAGTTTATTTCCTAGGTCATTGAGGTGTACTCCATCTGGCAACAGAAATTGCGATATGTTTTTCAATAAATCAGGGTACTTTATGTAACAACCCCCCAACTCTAACACTAATGAAGCAGCTACCCTATTGGTCTTAAGACAACGCTCCATTGCTTTATTGTCCCCCGAATACCTCCATTTATTTCGTGGCAGCATCTGTGACCAAACAAGTGTAGAATGTGGAAAGCGAGTCTTGATAATCTTTAGATGGGATTTAATTTTCTTCATAATCTTTAGAGTAAACAGATCAATTGATCCTAAATCGTTTGCCCCACAGTGAATAACCAAAAATTCTGGGGATTCCTCTTTTTGTGAGAAAAAAAGCTTTCTTTTAAGTCCCAAAAAATTCAAACCTGAATATCCCTGCCACCAGATATTTATTTTCAATCTATCCAATCCAAGATTTGTTCCCCCCGGTCTGCATACTGATGCCATCATTGCATTCTTAATAATAGAGGAGCCCACACACCAGACTTTAACTTCAGAGACCTCTACAAATGTATGCAATAATTTGAATAATTCTTGTTATATTTACAAAATTACAACTTATTCGCCCCAACATCTGCCAAATAGGACATCTTATGTGTGATTTGTATGCCCTAGACTTCCAACGCCCTGCTTCCATTATGACATCTTGTGAACACCCCGCTTCAAATGCTGCAGTGGCTGCCCCGATACAAAATGAATGGGCCCTATAATGTCCCTGAACCCCCAAAACCTGAAGTGATTTTTTCAAAACCGAAGAGAACTGATATCTGGTAAGGGGATTTTTTCCACAGTGGATAAATAATGGCCCTTTAATTTTTGGTCTTACTGCAAGATAATCTATCAAACTTGCTACTGGACACAGGATTCCCCCACTTTTATCAATGGCTAAAGAAACCCCCTTTCTATCCTGATCACATTTTGACATTCTTATGTGTACAAAAACCTTGGAGTAATTAGCTTCAAATTGAACATCAGTCACTTGTAAAATTGTATGAACACTATTACCAGTAGACAATGTGAATTCCCCTATTCTGAGAAAACCAAAGAAGGCTAATATATAAGCAGCTCTGAACAATTTTGTTTCATAACTATTGCTACAAATGCTCGATAAAACCCTAACAACTTTAGTAAGCAACTGCAAGGTTATAGGTAGCCTTGCATCTGCAGACCTACCAGTTCTTCTCATACCCTCAAGAACCTTTACAACCAGAAAGTTCTTTGTTTCATCAACCCAATTGTGAATTTTGCATTGAAAACTAATAGAAGATAGATAAGATTTTGCCGTAGCATAGGAACACTTCTTAAGTGACAGATAAGCAACAAAGTGAACAACATCTCTAAGAGGTGGGGGCCATGAAATTTCGTACCCAAATTCTTTCCGGAAATTATAAAATGAATTTTGTCCTGTTTCGTATGCTGTCTTAGTGTTTTCAGAGATTGAAGCATCTAGCAATTTATTCATTTGAATCTGTAAATCATGTTGACTAATTCTACTGGAAGAGGGTCTGGTCTGGTGCTTGCCTCTGGTGCTAACGTCTTGAAGCGGAACCACTGTTTGCGAGAAATAGAATCTGCAATTTTGTTATCCAAGCTACTAATGTGATTTGCCCTAAATATAACATTGTTGATCATCAGTCTAAGAACCAAATGTCTTACCAATTCCATCACTCTTTTGGACTTGGAAGATTGGGTATTGATGACACTAACTAATGAAAGGTTATCAACATGAAACTGAACTTTTTTATGTAACAACCTAGGTCCCCATATCTCTATTGCTAAAACTACTGGTATGAGCTCAAGAAAAGTCATGTCTCTCAAAATTTCTTGGTTGTTCCAATGTTTTGGCCATTGGAGAAAAAACCAACTTCCACTAAAGTAACCCCCACAACCTAAATGACCTGAACCTGCACTATCTGTAAATAACTGTAAAATGCTAGAATCTTCCCATACAGTATTAGGAAAATATGCAACCCCATTGAAATGGTTCAAGAACACCAGCCACATTCTAAGGTCACTTTTAATTCCTACTGATAATCTTATATGATGATGTGGCTTGAAAACTCCACTAAATGCATCATACATTCTTCGAATAAAAGCTCTACTAGATCTGATTGCCTTTGAGAAAAAATTGAGCATTCCAACTAAAGACTGCATTTCTTGCAGTGTAACTTTTTCCCTATCTAAAAAATTTTCAATCAGACTCTTCAGGATTTCTAACTTAGCTTCTGGGATCTTAATTGTCATCTCTAGTGTATCAATTTCAAAACCTAGAAATATTAATTTTGTCGTTGGACCAGAAGTTTTCTCATGGGCTAGAGGTACCCCTAAATCCCCAGCTAAGTTACTAAAAGTAGACATTAGAATTTCACATTCATCACTACCAGACCTACCTGCAAAAAGGAAATCGTCTAAATAATGATCTAATGTATTCAATCCAGACTTGAACTGAGCAAGCCAGTGTAGAAAAGTTGCAAATGTTTCCCAAATTCTGCAACTAATGGAACAACCCATGGGAAGGCATTTATCTATGTAATATAATCCATCTACAGAGAAACCTAACAAGTCAAAATCCCCTGGATTTCGGAACTAAACGAAAAGCACTTTTAATATCCATCTTACCTATCAATGCGCCCCTTCCCAAATTTGCAATCATATTGACTACACCATCAAAAGATGCATACTGCACTGTACATAAATCTGGGTCTATAAAGTCGTTGATCCCCTGGGAACTAGGATAGGATAAATGGGTAATCATTCGCCACCCTCCATCAGATTTAGGGACAATGCCAACTGGTGAAATATGGAGGTTAGAAATTGGAAGTTGATCAAAAGGACCCATGATTCGGCCAAGCTTTATTTCCTTACTTATCTTTTCCATCAACTCATCATGGTGTTCACTTGCAGACTTAAGATTTTTTGAAAACACATGACACCTTGGGCCTGTATAATTTATTTCAAAACCCTTTGAAAACCCATTTTTTATATAATTAGCAGCATATTTGTCTGGATATGGCTGCAAATATTCATTTAACTTTTCAACATTAATAGGGGAATTTCCTAGGGCCCATATACCTTTGTGGTCTTGGGGTTTGGGTTGGGTGTGACAAAAGGGGTCTAACTTGAGGCTGTCCCTGCAGTTGTACCCTTGGGTAACTTGTGGACTTCCCAACATAATTAGATTGAGGGCACAAATATTGTGGATGACTCCCAGAACATTTAATGCACTTGTGCATGTACTGGCAAGAAGGTCTGTCACAATGACCCTTGAAGTTGAAATTATAGCACTTGTTGTAGGCTGGGCTGTTTGGTTTAATTGTTAGTTTAGATTGTGGGGATGATGACATAAACATCAACCATAACTCATAGTCTACTTTAGACCAATCTATGGTGGGATCGATACTGCGGCGAAGTCGAAACTGCTCGTCATATTTCTTCCATCCCAAATCCCCCTCCCCACATCTTGATGCCCCGAGTCTTATGTCATGTAAATATTTCAGCAAACCCTGATAAGATTCTGGGTGGGCCGAAGCATAAATGCTAGAGTAAACTAAGAATGCATCTGTCCATCTACTGATATTTTGAATCTTATTGCTAGGTTTAACAACCTCTCTTGTGACCAACTCCCCTTTTTCATTAAAAAATATTTTTTTCTCTGAAGATTCTGTCAGGGAAGTGTTATCAAGCAACAAACTAATCTCTATGTATGCTGAACTAATGATTTTAGACTTCAATGAGTTAGAGACATTGCTAGCCAATAGTGAATGAATGCTATCTACATATTGATTCTCATAACCAATGCTTGTACCTGATTGAGATTCAATTGCCAAAGCAGGCACAGGTGCTGGGGCCAGTGGGGTAGAGTTTGACTTTCTGGCACCAACTACATTCTCTTGGGCGGCGATGCTTCCTGAAGGACCTGGTTCCTGAACTGTATGATTATCGTCAACCTCTATCGCTACCGCTGGTCGCTCTTGTCTTGACCTCTTTGACCTTGATGCTTTGCCCTCGTTGTCTCTCAGTCTGCAATTCCGCTTAGTCTTATTTTTGGGAGGCATTTCCGCTCGTTAGAGTAAATAACAAACAAAAATTACTAATTGTAATTCACCAGATACAAATTTTTTGATAAATTTGCTACGGGCAAAAATTTGCAACAATATATTCAAAATGGCTGTCGTGTCACATTTAATCGGGCTGTAAATCCAGCACAATCCAGAGAAAATATATACGTTGGATTAAAAAAGTATTAAGAACATACAAACTTTATTATCCATTAACCAAAATTTAAATTTATTTAAGGCAGATGTAAAAAATTTCTTACAAATATTATGAAAAAAACTTGACAAAGAAAAATTCAACCTACTCTGTATCCAGCAAGTTGATGAAAATATTTTTTTAACATTTTTAAAATGGTTAATAAAAAAGAATGTTGATCCCTTGAGCTTTCCGAATATACAAATTTTATATATACCCAAGGCCGCAGGCGGATCCCGACCAAAAAATTAATACCTTTTCCCGTAAAATAAAGTCATCTGATTTTATATGCATAAAATAGATGATAATATTGTAGAAGTCAAATAGGTCAAAATTAAACTGTTTTACAATATTGTGTTGTTATTTGCAAAATTAGAGATAAATTCGATAAATAATAAATATTTTACTGGAGATTAAAAATTTTAATTAAGTATAAGGATGTTTTATGATTCTGGGGCCAGGAATCTGAATAGAAGCTTATGAATGAAATTCTGCTTCATAGGAATATAAAAAGATCGGCATATCCAGGGGCACAGTAAGTGCTCACGAAAATTTCAAAAGATTGTAGGAAGACCTAAGACTTTATGAACATAGATATTGTCTATTGGTTACAAATAAACTTAATATACTTAATATGAATAGATAACTTTGATTGAACTCTAAACAATGAATAACAATTTTTGATATATATAAATTTTTAATTACAGAAAGTGAAAAGGATTGGACAGAAGACAAAGGTTTTTTTATCCCTACAATAGCAATGAATTATTTTAGCAAATATTTCTTTTACCAAAAATAATTTCAGCATACAATATCATCTCATTAATCAGGTCAAGTGATTAATTTAATGTTACAATAACAGAAAAGGTGAAAAAGGATAAAAAGTAAAATTCAATTTTATGAATAAAGATTTAAAAAAAACATGTACTAACTTGTATATGTAAAGAAATAAGCATATAAAGATGGATTTTCTTCGGGGAAATATTTTTTTTTCTCACTATGAAATCTTTCTGTCTCATAATTTCGTGCTAATAGTTCCACCACCGCTGTTACTTTGGGAAGTATTAGAATTATCTGGTTCTAAGCATTTCATTTTAATTCTTATCCACCTTTTCACCTTAGAGTCTCGTGTTGTCATTATGAGGATGAAAACACCCTGACTGCCATTTAATATCAGATTTAATGTATGCATCCATAAAAGAGACACATTATTTGCCACGTAAGCAAAAATCCAACATCCACCACAGAGGAAAAACATCTGAAGATACATCAACCACCTCTGCCTGTCCTTCCTCGTTTTTTGTAGATTTCTAGAATTACGCTTAGCAATTTCCAAACCATGGAGTGACACTGCTAGGCATATCATGTTAAAAAATAGGAAAGTACTTGCTGGTAAAATATAAGCTAAAAGCAGCGCATCACTATTTCCTATCCAGCAAATGTTTCTAGCCCCATATTGCAAGGTAAAAGTACTTAAACTGATTTCGAGAACATTACTTAAACCAACAATAAGCAGCGGTAGCCCCCAGCCAACGATACAGTACTTAACAAACAAACTGTTGTTCTTGAATTCCCTTTTCAAAGTTTTAGAGCATGCATTTAATGACTTTACCAAATCAAAGGACAGAATGCTTGACCACGAAAATATACATAGCCATAGATAATGCAACAACATGGCAAATGTCAGACAAACTCGTGACGGTAGAAATGGAGGAAGGGTGAACGAAAACTGAGCGATGAACCACGACAATGAAAATGAGAGAAAGCATTTGGCTGGGCAAGTCTGTATCCCCCTTATATTGATTTGTAGAAACATGGCTAGTAATAAACAGAATAGCGAAATAGAAAAGAACACTGTAGTCAAAATTAAATTCAGCACATTATCATCAGAATAAGGGTTCTTTTTGTGACAGATATACAAAATAGAATTAATTATTTTATATTGACCGCTCATTAACACAACTGAACTTAAATTGAAGTGAACTGAATTGTTGGTTAGTGTATATTCCTTTGCTTTATATGAAGTTAGAAAGGTAGGGCATTTCAAAATAGATCTGTTAGTGCAAAAGAAGAACGTTACATTGGAAAATCCTCCAATCACTACCATAGCGTCAGTTTTTAAAATTTTGGCTGTGATAGAAAATCGAATTTTCCCAGAAGGAATTTGAATGGTCTTCTGGTTGTACAGAATGCGAAAAAAGTCATCTTTTGTTTCAAGCAATTCGTCGGCTCTGAGAGTTTCTAGATCCCCTTCCTCACAAATCAGGGACTCATTCGGTGGAAAATTTTGCAATTGAAATACCTCTGATGAAAAATTCATCTCCAGAAATATTAAATTTAGGCATTTGATGACGTTATCAAACACATATCCTTCATCAGCACTAATGACAAAAGTCCGTTGTGAATCATCAAAGTTTTTGTTCCTAAGATAAAAATACATTAAAGAATTGTTTTCAGACGTATCTGTTAAGTATGGCTGATAAATGAATTCGTAGTTAGGATTATCGTAGATGCATGATTTAGCTCTTTTGATAGATCCGTGTGGACAGATTAGACTTGCGCAAAGTCCGGTGATTGGGTCATATGTCAAATTTGAGGCACATTTAGAAGGGTTTCTATTGTCAAACCCATTACCTGTAAAACGAAACAGAATGTTCATGTCCATTATTGAAGATATCAGTTGTATATTTCGCATTTCTCTAAAAGGCTGTAAGAGAGAAAGGTTGTATCTTGAAGCGATTGCGCAGTTTTTATTTCTGAAACTTATATTCTTGTTTTCATTGGTGAGAGGGGATATGTATCCAAAGCATAAAATGTCATCTATCGTTTCTTCTCTTTGGTCTACACTGAGAAATTTCTCCGAGATAAAAGGATGTACACAGTATCGAAAGTTCTGATTTTCCTTAAAAGTATGAACCAGTTCACAATATTTAGATAGCTTCTGAATGTCGGTTTTAGGGATACCTTTGTAGGTTTCAGGACAGAGTACAGATGTGTCCCAAAGTTGGAGATCCTTTACGTTATATCCATGGCAGAGAGCACAATATGGATTTCTAAATACCAAGTCGTGTATGCCTACCGTTACCGATGTTAAAATGTTCAGAATCTGATAATTAGATGAACATTTTGTTCGAAGTAAGCCAGTGTAATGAGAGGCACATTGATTAATTACCTTAATGCTAATTATCTTAATTTCAGATGTACTGGGACGCTGAAACTTAATTGATATGCAACTACTATACTTAAAAACCTTCATCATGTACTCATAGTCAGTTTCATTGAAGTCCATCATTGAATCATAATTGTAAGAATGAAAATATATGTCACTGTTAAAATTATCTTCACAGCAATCTTGGAACAGATGGCACTGACTATCACAAGCACAATATTTAACTTCATCTTTTCGGCGAGAGCAAACCCATCCTTGCTTCTCTTCATCACACCGAAGAAATGGACACACCGAGTTTTCTGTGAAATTTAGTTCAAAAAATGATTATTAAAATCATATATTTTATTTGCAGAATTTTTAAACAGACAATTTTAACAATGTATAAAACCACAAAATAGGAAGATTGTATTAACGAGGCCGAGTCTAATTATTTCTGCCCTAGGGATTTTGATGATTTTTTGATAATTAATATTTACTGTTATATTTATTGTTTAAAGATTACAAAATCGAATGTTCACCATCGCGATTTCTTCGGGGGCCATCTCAAAATTTGTCAAAATTTACTATTTGACCCTATGTGGACTCATTGGAAAAGCGCCAAATCATCCAATTTTTCCCATATTTTTTGTATTTCTGCCCTAGAGATTTCTTTTTCATTCAAGTAGATGAAAGTTATTGTAGAAAGTTACCAAATAGTGAAATTTCAAAATTGTTCACCATCTAGGTTGGTCTAGGAATTAATTATGTTTATTTTTTCAAAGCCCAATACCTCTAAAATTGCCATATCACGGTATAAATACATTTCAGTGCAGATGAATTATCTTTGCATATGATTTTTTTCGGTTAAAAATAGCAATGTTTAGAATTCTAATATGTTTCTTTGGATAATCCAAGGAAGTCTTGAACACGCAAGCAAGTCATCCGTCATTTTTCAGCACCATGCATTGCTTGCAAAATCCGAAAATGGTGACGTCGTTAAAAGCATTTCAGCGTTTTTCCTAATTATTGTAGTAAAATCACGTTTTCAAACCAGTAGGGGTTAAAGATAATTTTAATTTTGAATTTAAATCAAAATATTTGGCAAAGGTGTACAGCCGCACATATTACTGCATGAAATTAAAAAGCTGCGCAAAGTCATGCGCACTCGAATTACACTCGGCCTCGTTAAATAAATCTGAAAACAAAAATTAAGAAAACAACCTAAAGAATTATTGTAGGATGAAGTCACATTGGAGATCGTGAATATTGTCTCATTAAGACTGCACCCTGGTGTTGTTAGCTTTCCTTGACTTCTCTCGAGTTGTTGCAAACAAACTACAAATCATATCACACGAGAAAAAGTGTCATATTTTCAAATCTGGAATACAATAAGGCAACTTCGTCTAAATATTATACATATATATCTATTATTATTATATCTACCAAGTTATAAGTACAGTTTAAAATTTCTATTTTTAATTAAAGTTTTTCATTGCCATTGAGTTGTACAACTCATCGGGATATCACAAGTCAATAAACTCATTATAAAATAACGGGTTCGTAGAAATGTTTTTTAAAAATGAGTCAAAACTGTACTAACAACTGCTTCAGACAGAATCCATAAAATCATTGCTGATTTAATGTTTTAATACCTTTTATTCATTAAAAAAAAACCAACAATAACAACTATTCATACTTATTAAATGGAGAATTTCAGCCGGAATGTATTTAATCTTCTAGTTCTCGTACTGATTTGTTGCTTATTGAAGCGGACATTTGAATGATGTGCGAACGATGTCTAAGTAACTAATTTTAAACATTTCATTTTTTACATTGATTTTTGATTTTGCATAAACAATTAAATACAATTTTCCGTAGATACGTTATTTAGTATTCAAAACTTAAAAATTGAATAATTCACTTACTATTTGCTATCACAGTCAACATTAAGAAATAAGAATTCACTACCATTACAGCCATTATGAAAATTAAACTCAATTTTTTACGGACTGTTTTAATTTATATAGTGATGTTTCAAAAAACACCAGGGAGATATTTCATATTATAACTGTCTTAATTATTATTTGTTCTCCGGAGAATGTCAATAAAAAATAGTAGGCTTCGTCAATTTACAAATTGTCAGTCGATGTACCACGCAACACTTCAATAAGAATAGGCACTGCTGCATGGATATTTTTTCAGTTAATGGACTCTGATCAGTTGACATGATTATAGCGGTCATGTAATAATGTATCATTTCTATATTTGTTAACGATCTTTTACGAAAAATCCGCCATGAAAGCATTAAGAAATTTTTATGAAGCATTGCATAATCAATTTTTTTTTGGCTATACAAAAACTACAGAAATTAGCTCTGCTTCGCCAGTCAAATAGCTCCTCGTCCTTAATTTTCTATTTAGGAGAGAGATAGGGATAATTCCTGTCTGAATTCTACACTTAAGTACACTGTTCTACTAGACCTTTTACGTTTTTTTTAATAGAGATGTACTTTGTTTACAGGATAGACCAGGGAAAAAAGGTCTGTCTGTCATTGGAAAAACACGACCAAATACAGGGAATGTCCGGTGACATCGAGGACGTTTTTTTTTATTGACAAATAATGCGCGCTCGAATCTGAACAAAACAAGACTATAACATAACTCTGTTTAGTGTCAGAGAAACTGTACAAAAGGATAGTTTTAGCTAAAATGTTGGATGTTGTGTCACTGTGTATGTTAAATTGCGTCGGTTTATGACGTCACGGCGCACTGGAGAGCAGTTCAATTTTGTATGTTTAGTATACGTTTTCAATGTTTTCAATTGACAAAAATAGTTTTAGAAATTAAAATAAATCATCGACAGATAGCATTTTATTAAGCAAAATGGGTGTTTTGTAAGCTTACGATTTTTTTTTTATCAAATTCCAGGGTAAAACAAAAAACATACGGGCAAACAACAACTAGTTAAAGCGACGGCACGCCATAGAGAAATATGTCTTTTTGAGGAATGAAGTAAGAATGGTGTCCATAACTTTCTGATAAAAATCCCAAGAAGGCCCCATATGTGTTCAAAATTAGTTCCGCAATCGTCAGTTTATGGGTGAATAAAGAGGAATTCACTTGTACATACATCAGTAAACAGCAGTACACCAAGTGGTAGGGACAACTGCATGTAAACTTCGTGCATTTTGAAAAGGCATTTAACAGCATATAATGAGGTAGCCTTTGGGGCATTCAACGTCATTATGGTATTCCATCCAACTTGTCCATTTGATTAGGAACTTTTACAAAAACTTCGGATGCATAGAAGAACACACAATAACAGGATGTTAAGACCGCAGTCAGCAAGGATGCATGCGTAATGACTGCAGTATTATTCAACTTGGTCATCGATTGGGTCATGTGGAAGACGACAGATTCTAAGCAAGGGAACCTGTTCTCAACTTTGGAGGATATAACCTGGGGGCCATAAAACTTAATTAGATGAGCTCACTTTTGATCTCAGACTCATTTTCCCCAAAGGATTTAATAGTGAAAAGTGAGAGTTAACTCGTCTAAGTTTTATGGCCCCCAAGCCTGGACTTTGCGGAAGACCTCGTACTGATGCGGCACACACACCAGCATATCCAAGAGAAGACCAGCAGGCTGCAAACCTACGAACTGCAGGTACATGTAAGATAAGAGTGGAGGAAGACTGTTGCTGCCCTACACACCACAGAGTGCAAAAGACGATGATTTATATTGAAAATTTTACTGAAACGCGCAGAGGTTTTGATTTCTCACAGTTTGTCTACGATTTACCGACAGCTGTCAGTGTGGTAAGAATCTAAGCGTATAATTTGTTGTGCATATATTTCTGACGATTTTGAGGCGTTAACAATTCCTAGCAATTGGACTTAAAACCGTGCATTTCAATCGCAAAAAATGAGATATGGATGTATTTTAGAAGACATTGCAGTATTCAAGCTCAAAATCCATTCAACCAAAACAAACCAGGCCTGGGAGCCATAAAACTTGGAGGAGCTCACTTTTGATCTCAGTCTCACTTTTACCAAAGGAATATATAGATGAAGAGTGAGACTGAGATAAAAATTGAGCTCGTCTTTGTTTTATGGCCCCGAGGCCAGATGAAAAGCAAACATGTGCACGGGCAACCAAAAACATCAGAAGTGGAAAGTTATGTGCTATGGAAGAGTAAGCATTCGCTGTCAAACGGTCCCACACGCTGTGTGCTCCTTGTCATGAGAGGGTAAGCGGAGAAATTTCAGTGTGTGAATAATGGCCTAACAATAAGTGTTACAGACGTCAGTTAGCATTATACCCTATGGTAGAATGTATTTTTGATAATGTCACTGTATCGACCATAAAACTTGCGAAATGTTGACTTTAAACGAGACGATTGATATCCTTGTATCATAACTTTAACTTTTCTATCGTCAACTTCCCTTATGCAGCATTATACCTTCATCACCTGCATACAAAGTATATACATCTCAGTTGATTCGATACACAAGAGCATGCTCTACGTATGAACAATTTCTTAAACGAGGTAAATTATTGACAAACAAACTGATGAAACAAGAATATCAGCAGTCTCGTTTAAAGTGATCATTTCGATCGTAAGTTCTATGGTTGATACAATTATATTGTCAGCAAATACAATTTATCATTGAGTCAAATGCTGACTGACGTTTTTCATACTAATTGTTAGTCCACTATTTATACACTGACTTGACGGGTTTTTCCGTTCTTTCCCTATCATAACCAGGAGCACACGGCGGGTGTGGTCGGTCGGCGGGGGGTGCTGACTCCTCCATGACACCTGATCCCACTTCTAATGTTTTGGAGATCCGTGTTTGCTCTGCTTCTATTTTGTATTGTTTGACCCACTTTTGATCTTGAATACTGTTCATTATCTCCATGCATGTTTCATCGTCAACTTTCTGGTCAATAGTTTGCCTCATCTAAAGCCAGACATCTCTTTCGAGACTGTAGCTCAGTTTGTACTAATAATAAAGGAAGAGAAAAGTAGTCATTGGCACTTGGAACTTTACAATGGCAATAAATAGATAAAATGATCCTTGATAAAGTCTCTTTTTTGGCAAGATTTCATTAAAACTACAACCTCAGGAGTAGCTTTTAATAAAAATCTTACAGTTACCATGGTAACATCATTCATCAAAATGAAAAAGAAAACAAGAAAGACAATTATATATCTCAGTGTAGTCTACTTGCATGCCACATCATATTATAATCAGACTAAACACTGTATTTGAAGTAGCTTTTTTAAAGTATTTCACAGAAATTTATATTTCTAGTGACCACGGCAACATCGTTCATCGACTTCAAAAACCGACATACAGAATTGTGTATCCTTGTGTCGTCTACTTTTGTGCAAAATTAGATTAAAATCAGACAAAAACTGTAGGAGGAGTAGCAATTAGTTTACAGATAGACAGACAGCTAGACGGACGGACGACAGACATATTACTATTGCATAAGCTCTTCTGGTCTTTGACCAGTAGAGCTAAAAATGACCGTATACGTGGAGCTTAATCATGCGTATCGGATAAATTTGGTATACATAAACCCCATAAGCAGATGATTGGTATATTGCTACATACTATTAAGTAAGGGTCTTTGACGATAGAAAAGTTGAAGTCAACACGTTTATTATAAAGTTTTGTTGCTATCTTGCTATTAATGTCTTTTTCTAGTGTAATATGCATCATATATGAAACAGATGTGTCAGACTGTGGTGTTGTATTTCAAGTTCACTATGATATATCCAGTCGCAAGAATGGAAGTAACTACGAACTATTGTTAATTGATTGAAAGTGCGTCGTCGACACAGCTTTAATTTGTTATATAGATTTTTTATGGTAAAGCTGAATATCGAACACGGGTCGCCATTCTTCGCCAATGCTTCTATATATTATTAGGTTACATCCCAAGTTGCAAAGTTTATGCAAGTTTGATCTGATAGGGCCATGAGATCAAACTATAAAGCAATTCAATACAGCATCTGACGCAATGTTGAAAGTGTTCCAGGATGCCCACCCATGCAAGATTGGTCTAAATAGACCTAATAGTTTCTTGGCAATAGATCTGCATCCATTACTTTAACCTGTTCCATTATCTGGAAAATGTATACTGTAGATTCCTAAATATACGCGTGGAATTAATTATCGCGTAATTTCGCGCGAAGCACCACACACTCAATTAAATTACTTGCCCTTATTTTTATTGAGCTGAAATCTATGTTAAAACTCTTGATCAACTGTCCATTCGCGAATTCTTATTCTCGCGATTTGCTGTTGAAGAGCCCATTCGCGATAAAAAGTACTCGCGAAAAATAAGGAATCTACAGTATTGGATTCAGCATCCGAAGCAAGTAAATTAGGTGCATTCTTATATAGAATTATAGATACATCATCTACGCAAGATTGTTCAACATATACGGTTACTTTATCCAAAGATTTTAACCTGTTTACTCATCCAAAAATGTAGGTCAGAGTCAGCATCCGAGGCATGTCCATTAGTGTACATCCTTGGATGCATCATTCATGCAAGTCTGATTATCATAGGGCTCAAAAACTTTAACCTGTTCACTAATTCGGAAATATAGGTTAGTCCTTGCCTTCGAAGCAAGCCTTGTTGTGTGCATCCTTAGATGTATCATCCATGCAAGTTTGGTCATCATAGGGTTCATAGTTACTTGGAAATGAGACCTGCTCTGAAACATTAATCTGCTCACTCATCTGGAAAATGTTAGTAACATCCATCCTACGAAGCAAGCCTGGTACATGTAGTATACATCCAGAGATGCATCATCCATGCAAGTTTGGTCTGTATAAGGTTTTTACTTACCTGGAAATGAGGCCTGCGCCAAAAAAGTTAACCTGCTCCAGAAATGCTATACTGGTAATTCCTTTGCTAAAATTGCAGAATCTTAAATCTGATACACACTAGAAGCTTCTCTGATGCAAGTAATATCAATGCAGAGTATAGAAGCACTTAATAAAAAAGAAAACTGTACCAAAACCCCTAACCTGGGACAACGACATCGACGATACTAGTATTACATAAGCTCCCCAAGCTTGGTTGAAGTGAGCTTATACCGAAAAACACAAAAGAATACAGTCATTCAATGAAATTTTATAAATAATTTATAACCAAAATACAGTATTTTACATTTGCTTAGAAATTCTAAATAGAGTGGGATCTTTTGACAGTGTTGATAGGTTTATTTGGAGTTGACGTGGTGAGAGAAGTTGATTTCGCTTTACTGTAAGACAGTTTGTATCTCTGCATCCTTCTAGAAATTCCTTTAACAACTTTAGGATGCTTCAAAGTCATAACCAAGACATAAACTCCTTGACAACCGTTTATGATATTGTGCATAACCTGTAGCCATAGGAACGGGAATGCTATAATGATAAAAGCCAAAACCCAAGTGACTCCAAGCAAGAGTGATATTTGTAGATATACAGTGCATCTTGCAGCGTCTTTTGTGCTCTTCTTAACATATAAAGATTGCTTTTTAACATATTCTATTCCAAACATGGATACTCCAATGCATACAAAATTGAAGACAAGACAAATTACGACAGGGGTTGTAGTGCTGATGTACACAGCTACTTTGTTGGTGATCCAGCAATGTCCACTCGATCCATAGCCAAAGTTCACCGACTCTTCAAACTGGTCAAGAAGAACACAAACCAACACGATTGCAAATGGTACAAGCCATCCAAACAGGGAATACTTTATGAACAATTTCTTACTGTCTGTAGATCTAAGGTAAGATATCCTGCAAATACTGAATGCGTACGCAAGGTCAAACGCCATCACGCTTGTCCACGTGAAAACAGCTAACCATAAATACTGCAGGAGGACAGCGTTAGTTTGACAAAAGATTGTCGTCAAGTGAGGAACCAGTGCAGCACTCTGGGCGAAAAAAAGTGCCGCTGAGAATGACATCATGCATTTGTCGTGTGTGGAGCGGTAAGTCTTTGTACAGATGTGAATGATGAAGGCAATGATGAGGCACGTGACTGAAATAGTGAACGTCACGATTGTTGTCAATACCCGGATGTCATTGATGTCAAACAATGCCTCCTTTTCACACACAAAAATCCCAGAACTGTTCAAAATATACTCGTTTTCTTCATAAATTTTATTATTTCCCAGAATTGAGATGGAGCTGTTAATGTCCAAATATGTTCCATTTCTGTAGAAGGAAAGGGAAGCGGAACAATTCAATATGGACTTCACCGTAGAAAGGTCAGCCGTAGAAAGGTCGGTGTCTTCCAGAAAGCTGGCGTTCTTCACAAACTGAAATTTATTTCCGTTCCAAAGCATCCTGTGTGTGTCTTTCATTTAGTCTGAAAATGAAAGCATAGAGTTTTAATAGTTGACAGTTTTAGGTAATCAGTGACGAATAATTTTTGGATAAAAATCAATTGAATCATTTCATCCATATGTCTTTTATGATTATTCCTCCTGGAACATTATCCATGCACATGTGTAGCAAAAATATAGGTAAGTAAGAATCGTACGTCCTTGAGTGAAGTATGGCCTTTATCTCCTGTCCATTACATACAATTTGTAGGTCAGAGTCATAAATCTCTGATCAGATCGACTAGTCATGATGAACAGCAGGTGTGAGCATTGTGAACTTTATTACATTGTATAATATATATATATATATATATATATATATATATATATATATATATATATATATATATATATATATATATATATATATATATATATATATATATATATATATATATATATATATATACTGGATTATTATAACTTTAACTAATGAACTTTTGAACTCTACATGTTCATCACCAATCTGAAGCAAAGAGTGCTTTTGGGTCTATGGCTGCCCGTCTCTGCTCATATCTAAATTATAATTTTTTTTTTCAGAAAAGAAAATTAAATATCTACATGAACAATGTATCTTTTTTAGAACGTGACACTTATAAGAGTTTACGAAACTTTATATATTTTAATACAATTAAGATGCTTTTTTTTTAAAAAATGTATGTATTAAAAAATGACCTCAGGGCCATCTTTATTTAAAAATTAATTGATTGCCTCGACGGACTAGCTAAAATGACCTGACTCAAAACTTTTTTTTTAAATTATAAGTTTATTTTCAACAAATTAAAAATCATTAAATATGTTACAGGTTCTGACTTCCGTAAAGACTACACTGATTTTGTCTAATCTTTTATATTTAAAAAAAAAAAAAAAACAAAAAAAAAAACCCCAACTAGTTTCAGCTTAAATGTTAGATTTTTAAGTTGAAGCACTTTGTGAATATGTCATAGAAAAGTATTTTTAGGCCCTACTGGGTTTCGAGTAATTTCCTCGTAACGCGTTTTGTGACGCGAGTAATGTTAAGAACGAGTTAATATGAGAAGCAAATATGGCTGCGCCCATGAGCTGACTGGATGACTTTGGTTACATAAATAAACTGAACTTAAAGAGAGGAAAATGTTTCCCATAACACGAAGTATTGCTGTGAGGAATGTATGCAAAGTACAAACGTTTTTAAATACACCATCTTTACTGAGACACCAGGTAAGAACTAAGAAAACAACTAGTCTATATATTGTTTAATGCAGCCCGAAGAGACTTTCTCCCGGTGTGTAAAAACCTGATAATAAAATGTTTATTCTCTAGTTGCTTAATGTTTTGTTTTTATTCAATATACTTTTACCTAAACAATCCCCGTATGGAAAACGTATTAACCACTAATAAATGATGAATAAATGATGTAATAATATTGCAGACTTTTCTACACAACAAAGCTGTCAGATCTGAATTACAATCACAACAGAGGATCATTTATAATTTTTTAAAAGAGCAGAGACGATTTCAGTCTTCAAAGCAGGGAAAGGAAGACAAAAGTGAAAAGACGGTAGGTAAAGAGCATCACATCTCATTAAAATTGTGTACTAAAATAAAATGATTCTAAAACATCGGATATTTTGATCTAACTTTTGGACTGCTTTATTTGGAAACTTTTTGAGATACTTTGAATTTAAAAGAATTGTCTATATTTAACCTCACTTATATTCATTATTTAACTTTAAAGAACTAAACAAATATGGATTTATTAGCGGTATACTGTAAAAGCACAAATATTCTCTGGGGATAAAATTCCATTTATATCATTGTTAACAATATTATTAACGAAATCCCACACAAAATTTTTCGAAAGTTTGTGCTTCTACAGTACTATCTTACATTCAATTTGCTGAGCATGGATATTGACTTACATTAATTTATAGATTTTTTTCAGACAGATTTCTCTCTGCATGATCTGTATGATTTATCACACATGTTTTCTATTACATTATATTGTAGCCAATATCATGGAGGATTTCTGTTGTCTTTGCTATTGTTGGAGGTCTCTATGCCCTTCATTTATACAACACAATGAAGAATCAAGAACTAAGTAAGCTCTATTTCACTTGTATAAATATTATTACTTCCATTTTCTTTAAGTTATTGTGGAAAGCATGTTGTGATTGAATTCAGTTCTTTTAAGACTGCAGAGATAAATTACTTGCTTGAGCATAATCATATACGAGGGTTGTCACAAGTTGTCTAGTGTAAAAACTAAACATCACTGCGTTCTGAAATTTTCACTATTATTTAGTACATATTTTAGTAATATACACAGCAAATTTCAGATAAATATATGCATAAATAAACAAACTATGTGATTTTATGCCATGTATTGTATCACCTTACGGCGCATGGATTATAACGTCAAAGTGTCTAAAACAGCGTCACGTTTTATCTTTATGAAAATGAAGTTGGATGAGTCCGACTTAAATTTAGAAATTTTATTGATACACATTCCAAATTAGTCTCCATAAAGAGTCGAAGAACCAATTGGCACCCTCATGCGATCTTCTGAAGATTTATCAGTAAGTTACGGACAATATTCTCACCATCATTCAACTATCTGGTAATAGAAAATCTCATATCGGCGTCTACTGTGACAGATTACAGTAGGAGTTTTCTATTTTTGTACTCCCCAGGGACTCGTATTCTTCGCTTCCTATTTCATTTGTATACTTATTAAGATATGGTGATATTTTTATAATCTTTTTTCTTTTGTGGTCATTTGAAGTCTCTAAAAGGTGTCATTACAACATCGAATTAAAACGGAACTGCTCTCCCGTGCGCCATAATGTCAAACAACGTCGCCATTTTTCGTGTGTTGTGTTTACCACTTTCCAATTTCGAATGCTCGAGAAACTGCCAAAAATTAACAGAATGCCTTAAAATTTTAACACAGACTACAAAATTGATTGTGGAATCGAATTAGGATAATTTTAATCCAAATCTTATGTATTTAAAACTTTTATTTTGAATTCAAACTTGTGTATTCTTAAATAAAACCTTGGTTTTTTGTCCGTGCGCTGTAGGACAATACCCCGTGCACATTCAAGCATAATAAAATCTTCATTTTTGCCTATATTTTATCAAAAAAATTATCATGCACTTAAATATGATAAATAAACATTAACTGAAATTTTCAGCTTAGTGCGCCTATTACTTTTCGAGAAAAACGCTTTGTCCACGATTTTACGGGACAACCATCGTACATGTAATTGGAGAGTACAATTGCTTTGTTATTTAACAAAAAGGTACAAAACTAGTACCGGTACACTGGAATGTGCGCCTCACAACCTTTTTGCCACATGCAGAGGAGTGGTTCTAAACTGTGATAGAGGTTTTCTCTTGTATTTGATATAATGCATGTTTTATCGCATGATATGCTGTTCACATTTAAACTGGTACAAAATAAAATGGGAATTGCTTCCAGTGGTGGTTGATAACTTGTTAATGTAGATAATTATACTTGCCAAAGAACAGCATATGACCATTGATAATAGGTTAGAAATTAAATTTGCTCTCTTTTTCAGGGGAAGCAAAAAGGAAGAGGAAGAAGCTAGGTACAGCAGCTATTGGAGGTACATATGAGTTGATAGACTTTGATGGAAAAACAAGGACAGACAAGGACTTCCTAGGAAAGTGGGTACTCATGTACTTTGGCTTTACCCACTGTCCAGATATCTGTCCAGATGAGATAGAGAAACTTGTAAAAGTTGTGGATAAAATAGGTAAGGAAATAACGATTTCTTTAAAGAAAATAGATATCTTGTATACAATTAATAAAATCCAAAAAGGACAAACAATTTGATCATTATTTTACTCTTGATGTACAGTTGTGTGCCAGAATTTAAGATCATTTTATTTTTCTCTTTGTATTTCATTGAAAACAACATTTTGTAAAATCACTGGCAAATGGTCAATTTTTGTCCAATTTCATTATTTATTTCAGTACTTAAACCAGAAAATGTTAATAAGTTATCTTTCTTTAAAATATCATTACATATTTAGTTTTTTAGTAAAAGATAGTTAATCACTTAACATCAGTTATAAAGTTGACTATATAATTCATTGTGAGTATGTGACTTAAAAAATCACGTTGCACTTAAATTACCATATTTTAAAAATATCAATGCTGATCAGGTAGAAACTATTGTTTTCATCAACTACAACAATTTCTTGAATTATCAAAAAATTTGTAATAAAATCTGTCAAGAATTGTTGTCATACCAGTGATTTACAAAATGTTGTTTTCAGTGAAATATTATAGAAAAAATAAAATGATCTTAAATTATGGCACACAACTGTACCATATTCTTGAATATTACTTTTTTAAAGTGACCTTTATAGAATAAATAATCTTTATAGAACAGTAAAATAGTATTGAATCTAAAATATGCAAAAATTACCTTGTACGTTAAAATATGATCAAGTTACATGTACATGTATAACCATTTGACTAGTTTATTAATGTAAAGAATGGGAAAGTTAATTGGAAAAAGTTATAATCCAGAGCAGCAAAACTTTAATTAAGGAAATTCACAGGCTTTCATTCCCATTTAGTACAGATTTTAGTAGGACCAAGTCATAATTCTCCTCATCCCTCCCCTCAAAGGACAGGGGATGGGCAATATTCATAGAAAATTCAAAATTTTATATTGGTAAAAATTAAAAATTTAAAAAATGGTTCAAATGACTTAAATCATGCCTTTGACATTTAAAAAAAAAAAATTTTCACCCATTCTCAACTGTGTTTCTTCACAGATCACCCTGAGCATTTTTTGTTTACTTGAGGAAAAATCTGATTAGAATGCAAATCTCTACATAGATGTAGAGATCTGTATTTTAATTAGATTGCTTAAGGAAACACCTGGGATGATTTTGATTGTTTGCTTTTCTTCAGAGGTTTCAACGTGAACCTTAGGTGTACAAGTCCATAATTGTTTGAAAGGAAAAACGGATTTCATAACATCTGGTTACTGGTTTTTGCAGACTTTTTTCATTATTTTTTTTAATTTGTAAAAGACACCTGGTAAGCATCATGTCTATTGAAAAAAAATAAGGAGTTGAGTCAGACAAAAACCAGTAACTACCTCATACAAATACTTGAACCTTTCTTCATAGGATACATGTATAACAGCACATATTTGATGCAGTCTGGGACAATTGTAAATACAGTGTTTAAAAATTGTGGTATTATTTTTAAATGTTCATTTGATCAACCCATTCCTACATGTAGAATTTGATATACATGTACGACTCCTATATCTTTTTAATTTTTCAATTTGTCATTGATACTTTCACTTCAAGTTTGTAAAGATGTACAAAATGGAGTCTCCTTTTTTGTCAGAGACAAGGAGCAGTGTGGCTCAGATGAGTTTAAATCTTTAAAAATTAAAATTTGTTACTTGTATCCAGTTGCTAATTTCCCCATACATTTAAGTAACTGTAGACATTAGATATCCAGTTGCTAATTTCCCCATACATGTAAGTAAGCTTGATTACCTTGTGTATTTTTTGAATTAGATGCAGATAAAGAGTTACCTAACATACAACCGGTGTTTATAACTGTTGATCCAGATCGTGACACTCCCAAAGCCATGAAACAGTACTGTGAAGGTAAATTATGTACAAGTTTTGCAGCCTCCCTAGAGAAATATCTTAATTGTAATTGCATTAATAAATAAAAGAATGTGAGTATAAATATTTGAGTGATTCTGTTTTAAAGGTTTACACTTTTTAAACATACATACATGTAAAAAAAAAATTAAAACCCTCTTATCTCAAACTCAGTAGAACCAAAAAAGCCAAGATATTGGAGGGGTCAAGTTATTGAGAGTAAAATGCATCAAGGTAGAATGCTTGGGACCATTTGTGTCCAAATGACTTTAACATAGCCATTCAAGATATTGATGTTCAAGATTCTAAAATTTTAAAAATGTTTTTTTTTATTTGATTTACAGAGTTTTCACCTAAGATAATTGGATTGACTGGCTCTAAGGAGAAGATAGATGAGGCTTGTAAGAATTTCCGTGTTTACTACAGTAAAGGTCCGGAGGATGAGGATGGGGATTATATAGTAAGTGACTGTAGGAGTATGTCCAGTATTAGATAAAACAAAGAATTCTAAATTTATAAACAAGCACACAATGCTACAAATCTTTTGAGTGTGTCACTTATACAATTTAATTTGTTTTGTAGGTTGATCATACAATTATTGCATATCTCCTCAATCCTAAAGGAGAGTTTGTGGAATATTTTGGAAAAAACAAAACTTATCAAATGTTAGTGGATGAAATCAAAGAGTACATGGAAAAATATGCTTTGTTTGAAGATTGATGTGTGTAAGAAACTATATTCCTAATAAATATGTTATTTTCATTAATAAATTTGAACATCCCCTTTATATGGATAGTTTGGTGTCTTCTCTTTTATACTGTAGCATGCATGATCAAATTGCTTGCAACATGTAAAAGGAAAATCCTTTTGTAATCTGGTCATACATAATTTTTTCATGCTCATTCGTGAAAAACACTGTAAATAACTACAGTTATAATAATATGCAAATACATGGTTGGTTTGCTAGACCCATCTTATGGTAAAAATGAGACACAAGTCAGTTTGCGGTATGTAGAGACTAGTACTTTGTATGAGACTGTATAAACCGAGGTCCTGTGTCACAGGAAGTGCTGACATTGAAAAGATCCTTCATTGTTTAAAGCTAGCAAGTAACAAGGCTTTTAAATTTCCTCTCCGAGTGAAAAATTTTCAAAGGACATTAAACTAGCAAACATGAATCAGTTCAGTAACATACATTTTTGTATTTGAACTACCGCTTGTAAAATTGTAAACTTTAACTATTAGATCAACAAATCCGTGAAGGATGGTTACATTGACATTTTTTTAAGATGATCTTTCCTTTTATTTCCTTTATTGTTTCAAATTCAATAAGAGAGTGTGTGTGTGTGTAAACCTATACCCTCTCTGTGTAGATACTGGTCAGTTGTGGAGGTGCATTCTGCAACCTGTTCAGCTAGATAAGTTATTTTTTACGAAGGTATTTTTAAACTATTGACTCATTTCCATAATGTTCGTCCTTGCATTCGGATAAGAGAAGGATTTGCGCTAATATAACCGATCCGTGCCTATTTCCTTACAAAATCCAATGGGAGATTTCTATTACATTACTGCTGATAAAGGTTTGATAAATATAAACGACCAGAATTAACTTTTTAATAAGGTAGACGTTTTTGAGCAATCTTTTTAAATGTAGAGTGTTAATTTCTCAGAAAAGGATATGAAAAGTAAAAAAAAAAGTTAGTTTTAACATTATTATATATATCCGGTCTTTTTCCTGCTGTAATTGAAATAAATCGTGAATACGAATGGATCATAAGCTATGCGTTTGGGTAACAGCAGACCTTGACCTTGAATTAACAAATGGGTATTCAAAACCATTGGTAAATTCTTTTTTTCTTCTCCCAGAAAATTTTATTAGTCCGTTCGGACTAATTAGCTACAATTTTTATTAGTTCGAATGAAAATGTATTAGTCTGAGACTAACAGACTAGGTTTGTTATGATGTACAATGTGCCATCATGAACTCTCACGTGAAGTATGTTTTGTACTCACGTTAACGTTTTGTTTTAAGTTGGGAGCGCACGTGTGTTGTTGCATCTATCATATTTAATGACCGTCACGGATTAGAAGTTGAGGTCCGGAAACCATTAACCAGGTATTGATATTATTTTTCTCATTTACACCGCCTTGTCAATCAGTATGTGGATCTAGATTGTCAGAGGTAATTACCTTTATCTGACAAAGAAGATTTGCACATCTTGTTTACGAACCAAGATGACTGCTTTACTACAATAAAACCCTCTGACATCTAAGTTTCTCTTTTTGGCACAGCACATGAGGCTAGAAATACATAACAAGTACTATTAACACATTCAGTTTCTAAGACCTGTATATCCAAGTTTTAATCAGTTTGAATTTTTAAAAAGCGCAACATTATAGCAACATACAGTTTTGATTCTTTCAGTACTGTCGCCTGTTTAATTCATAAACTTTTGATTTTTTTTAATGAGAAATCCTTGTGTTTCAGGATTATTATTTATATGAATCTTAAAATTGTAAGTAAACAGCTTGAACATTGTGACAATTGCTATCTTAATTTAGAGTACATCCTTATCTGGATTGATTTTATCTAAACATTGCTACTTCTTTAAAAAATAAAATGAGTTTATAAATCATATCAAGCAATTTGACAATATTCTGTTGCAATTGGTGAATACTAGTAAATGGGAATACAAATTAATGAATACTCAAAAACTCGATTTTTAAAAATACATATGATTTGCACAGAATATGAAAAAAAAAATGTATCATTTTCATTATTAAAAGATAAAAAAAATAGTTTCTAAAAAAAATAATAATGGTAAAATAAAAACAAAAAAGCAATTAATTTATTCACTGTAATTAAAAAAAAATTAAAAATCCTTTACCGTACTTACTCAATAGAGAATGGGTTGCATGATGCCGTCACACCCGGAATAAATCTCACACCGGAATTGATTAATTGCTCTGCACACTTAAGATGCCAGGACTCATTCAGTTTCCCGGGGAGATGATTCCATCATGTGCGATACAGGTCTGTCAGCAGCCGGTAAACTGTGGGCAAGCGACGACCAAGTCAAAGTATCGTGTAGATGGATTAAACTACAGAGGAGAGAAAGTTAGCACTGGTGAGAGAAATATGATAAAGCTAATCACAGAACAGATGATTTCTGTTTATCTTGTCCATTACTTATGACCCCCTGTATTAAATGTCAGAATACGTTTCTAATCTCCTGAAAACCATTGCGGAACATGCCGGTAATAGAGAAATAATGAAGTCAAGTATTTTGTGAAGGTCAGGAGGTTCATAAATTTTGTTTTATCGCCACTTACAACCCCGCGACCTTCCATTTCATATATAAGTAAGCAAAATTTGTACCATCTGGAAATATCCTAGTTAATATACGATAAAACAAATATCAGGCTTCAAAGATCTTCGGAAACGGAATTTATCTGACAGTGAACAGATCTCCTTTCTGGATTAAATCCTAGTAAAATGGATTATTTTTATATTGCAAAAATTAATAGAAAAAATATCTAGTTTTATAATGTTTTCAATCTTTTTTCTCGTACGTAACTTTGCATTCTAAAAGCTTCATGTATTCGAATGGACCTGCATCCGACTTTCAATGAATTAAATGATTGTTCTGTGGAACATTCAAAGTATGTGAGCGTTTTTATAAGGGTCATACTGTTCCTCATTTAATTCTTCTAATCATTCGATCCCAAATTAATAATATTTTCATTTTCATTTACCCTTCATTCAGTCTTAAAGCATTTATCGATAACTTAATATGTTTTGCACAATTTCGAGGCATGCAGTCATATCTGTGTTGCAAACAGCCAAATTGAATTACATGTAAATACATGTACGAGGGTCGCTCAATAATAATTAAGTACACATGTTTTGTAACATAAAATTTATTAAAATGCATAAATATGCATATAATCTTACTCTTTCACAGTCGAGAACTCATCATCACCAAAAACTGCGTTTTTCCCTGAAGTCTTCGCAAAAATATTAAGTCTTATTGTAAGCACGGTGAATGCACTGATCTGAAAACTTTAAAAACGGTCTTTGCCAAAAATTAAATGAAAATGAAGGCGTATCAAAATAGGGGCTCTTCACAAAAATCGTTGTAGATTCAATATGAAAGATGTGAATTTGATATCTGGAAAGACAAGCCTTTCACGCTGTGTTCAGATGGGTTACATATGTAAGAAATACAACAATGTAAACGGAGTGTTAAGACTACATTTGAACTGGTTAATCAAAATATCTAGGAACATCAAAAATATGAGTGCTGTGAGCAACGTGAAATCTTAAATGCCAGATTAATAGTGACAGACATCGGTAAGGCGCTCAGTAATTCAGCAATATATTTTGTGGAGTCGTGACAAAGGAAATTTGAATCTAAAATTGTTTCTATATTAGGTGGATGCCTTTCAGATGTCTAAGAGGAAACATATACGTTAAATGTCCAACGATGGTACTATATATATAGCGAACACTGTATTCGTACTACAAATGAAGGTTAATCACAAAATTCTTTAAAAATCATTAACATCAAAACAACTTTTTCAACTCTCTTTACAACCATTCCCTTCGATTAATAAAAGTGCAGTATTTTTGACATCAGTAACAGCTTCCTTTTCCATTAAAATAGAATTCGTAAGAACATTTTCTTACCTTGTCATTGGTCATTTGCAGAACTATTTTATTAAACAAAAGAAGTGTGAGCAATGAGCTCCCTAAATGATACCCCTCGCCTTCAGACTCCCTTAATGTTTTACATACAACTTAGAAATATGAAATAAAGCTTGATTTTCTCTCATGGTTGAATCTTTAATGGATCCATTACAGTTTAAGTGACCTCTTTTCATTGGTCACAAATAGTTTCATTAACATTATGATACAAAGAATCTGTGAAAGTATCATGAAGTTTTTAAAAATGAATGGTAAACAATTGCAGTAAATTAGAATGGAGTTAACCCTTTATTATAGAGAGAAAACTGGCAAGGTCCAGTGAAATATTCAAAAAGTAAATTTACAGAGGCTGTTTTATAGACACAATATGGATTTCATGTAACAAAAATTCCGATAAAGTCTCATTAAATTTCATTCAGTGGTATACAAGGAGTTGCGGATAACCAATGTACGGTTTGCCAAAATTAAACAAATTATCACTGATGATATTTGATCACTTTTCACAGCGGGCAAAATTGATAAAACATTCTTTTTGTATACACAAGTACTTTGAAGTTGATAATAAAAGGTGGTTGTGTTTCTATCTATACATGTACATATGTATGTGCTTTATAGTGATCAGCGGACCGTTTTACAGAACTCACACAAAAGACACCTAAGACAAAAATATATTAAATCTATATATTTAATTTATGCTGTTATAATATTACTTTAAATTAAAATGGCTTAATTTTTTTTAAAAAATAATCTGTAAACTTGAGATATTTTAGATTTGCAAAATTAATGTTGTACAATATTGCAATCAACTAAAGTTTTTGGTCTCCGTCGTAAGTTCCTTTGTAAACGGACCCCAGGTCTACCAACAATCTGTGGGCATTCCCTTTAAGTTGGGTATCAATTGCATGTGCCCTTTCAGTATCAGATTTATGAAAAGTTTTATTTAAAAAACCACTGTTGATATTTTATTGAATTGATTTGAAAAAAATACGAGTTTTTAAAACTTAACAGTAAAATATATAGGCCTATATATCCAAAAAATAATTAAATCAATAAATCTTGTGGACCAGGACATAAACTTCTGTGTAGACCTATACTGGTTTACACATAAATATCTACATAAACAAAGTCAGTCATTCGGGAAGTTTTTTCAAAAAATTTTTTTTTCCAATGGCTAATAAATATATAAATAATGTAAAAGTTGCATTGTAATAAACAAAAAAGTCAATATTAAATGTCATGTTACCTATAAGGAGTTTTGATGTTGTTCTGATCACGTTTGTTAGAAAATAAAGAAATACTGAAATTATCTATATTTATAGTAAAAGGTATAGTGATTAAATATACATAAGTATAATTTTTTCTTGACATAAAAAATAAAAAAAATATTTTAAACAATTTAACACAAAAATATATAGAACATTTTATTTCATCGAAAAGTTATTTTTAAAAACTTCAAATTTTTAGAGGATTTTTGACACACCTGTCAGGGCCGAGGTGTCAACCAGCACGGGCCGAGGTGTCGTTGGGCCGAGTAGTCTGTCTACCTTACAGTGTTTTAAAGAAACATTTGGCAGTAAAAAGCTTAGTACTCAATGGACACCTTATGTTTTGAAAATATGAGTGAAAACGACAGCGTGTAAGAGTATCTAAATAATTATTTTTAAAAAATCAACAATTGTAGTTATCAGCGTTTGTCTGAAATTCAGACAGATAATAAAACTTGAATACATTGCTCTAACCCCTCAAAACAAATTTACAATAAGACACAAAAACAGTCATGGTCTGAGAAAAGCTAAGAATTGCAAGAGCACAAAACTAGTTTTATATGATATATTAAATCATGTCTTGTGTATGAAATTCGATTTAATGGACTTGAAGTTCATTTTTGGGAAATCTACGAAATCAAAGTTGTTCAAAAAAAAAAATTGAAATTTTATGAGAGGATACAGTGGGAATCCACTTCAGTTTTTGTAAACCAAAACATGTGTATTTTAAGGAAACTTTTGGGATCATAAAAAAATAGTTAGCGATTTTGTCACACCAACATATTCGAAAATCTTTGTTAAAGTATTTGACTTGTTGTCATTTTCCAAAGTGTGTGTAAAAAACTTTTTCATAGGCAAATATTTTCTGTTTTTGTGAGATTTTTGTAAATTTCCAGTATATTTTATATAAAAATATTTTAATATTAGATGAAATATCAAATAAAATTTGGATTTGTAATTAATGATTGATTAAAATTTTCACGTTCTCGAGAATTTTTCACTATAGGCACTTCGCCACCACTTGTCGGTTTCTACAAATTTTATCCTATATACCCTGCACTCAGGGCCATTGAGCAAGTGGATCTTTTGTGTAGCACCTAAAAATATTAAAACTATAATCCAGAAAACCAGGTCTCCATGTTCCACAGCAAAACATACACACAGTATATTGTCACTTCGCGACCCTGAGCAGACGCTTAACAATTTAACGCACCACTGTTGTAATTAAAAGAGAATATATAAGTGAAATCAGAGCTCGTAAATCTGTTGAAAAAAACTTTTTGTACGTTTAACGGGTGTGATCACCGAGGCTATTTATTGAACAGCACTTAGCGCGGAGTGACGTATTTGTGAACAAAAGTTATTTGCTTTCATTCATTCAATATGTTGAAATAATTATTTTTCTGATTAAAATTCTAATATTTTTCAAATACACAAAAGATTGCCCATTTCCATATGAATATAATGAATAAAATTTTTGTGTGGAAAGTGCAAGGAATATATGTCATCAAAAAGTAAAAATTTGAAATTTCAATAACTTTAATGAAATAAAATTTTTAATATATTTTTCAGTGTGAATGAGATGCTATTAAAATATATGTAACAGACGGACAGAAAATATTAACTTCAAATCTGTTTCCATGCACCTTAAAAAAACATAAATACACCACTTGTGTGCTTTTCTTATTATTAAATTGCATTTTCCATTGAGCTCACTATATGAACAACCATCCCATAATGTCCATGTGTTAAAATATATTGTTTTACGAAAAAAAGAAGAAAGTCTTTGTATCAAATGTCCAGTGCTTCTTTACATGTATATGACGTCATAGGTAAACAAAAAATGGCAATTGCACACATGTTTTGCTATGAGGAAAAAAGTTGAAAAAAAAGTAAAAAATGCAGTAATTTGTGATAAAGATTCGTGTTGTGTTTCATTAAACTTTCACTAGGCAAGTATTCAAAGTTGCGGACAAGAAAAAGTTTGCAGACTGATAGTGTCTAATTTACATATAAAACAAACGGATTTTCCAAATTAATACTGATTAAGGATTCATGAAAATTCATGTGTTGTAATTTAACATAGAAATATATAATTTGTTTTAGAGGCCTGTGTTTGCTCAAATGCTTGATGAATTTTATGGTTATGATGTAAAAGCTTTTGAATATTTGTTTACAAACATATATTTTAGGAATTAAAGTTTAATGATAAGTGTGAAGGTAGAGAGTAATTTTATATTTGAAACACATATAAAAAGAAGAACCGTCCATGTTTGTTTTTTTTTTATTAAATATGAAAAGACATTAACTCCTATATTTTTTGGCACTTTTTTCATTTTAGTTGGCCCCTTTAATGTAAACTTTCACAAAGGTGATATTTTCGTGTGCTAAAATTGCATTATGCGAAGTTTAAACGTTTATTTTGGCAATTCAGGAAAGTCCAAATACCGGTCTCCGGGATAACTGTTTTAACAATATTGCTGCAAATAAAACACAGACGTGTAGACTAAAAAGAGTTGTTTAAAGAGTTCAATCATCCTCTGTATTCGCTACATGTTCAGTCATTCTGAGTTTTAATTATTCCAAAATCCAAAAACGCATTCAAAGAAAGACTATTAAAGTTAAGGTACATGTATATTATGCAGAGTGCTATTGAATTGCGTCGTTGAGCCTTCCTAAAACGGAGTGTAAGCTGAGGCGTTCTGATAATGATCTTTATAGGTATATGCATAGGTAAAAAGGGAAATCTTTTAGGGCTTAAACATAAAGATATTACTTATGTCCTTTTTTCTTTTTGAAAAAAAATTCAGTTACATGTATATTTTGCACTACTAATTGAACAAACTTCGTGTATAATTTGAAAAAGGCAAAGTCTGTGTATGGAAATCAGTGCCTTTGGTGTAGGCGTGTGCACAGATTGTTTCATTTGAACACTATATTCCTCCTACGAGAAGAAAAAAGTCAAAAGAATAGAAAAACTACAGTAATTTGTGATCGATTCGTCTTGTGTTTCTTCCCAAACTCTTGCTTTAGGCAAGTTTCAAATCGACAATCCAAAGTTTGCACTGATAGTGTCTAATTTACATATAAAACAAACGGATTTTCCAAATTAATCTGATTAAGGATTCATGGAAATTCACTTCTTTTAATGTTGACATAGAAATTATTTGTCTCCAATGTCAAATGCTTGATGAATGGTTATAGGTTATGCATGTAAAGGCGTCTAGATTTGTTTACAAACAAGTATTATTGAATCAGAGATTTAAATCAGTTTTAGGTAGAGATAATCGTTATTTTTAAACAAATATATTCCATAATTATGTGTTTCTTCTTTGATATAATGTTTATGAAGTCGTATTAAATCATATAAATTATTTCTCTGAATTTCCACATTTCACCTCAGGTGCTAGTGAAAATTTGTAATAGATGTATACATTTATCCAAATTGAAAGAAATTAGCATTTTCAATACTTACTGTTACCGATATTGATTAGCGAGTGCTACATGGACATTAATGATATTTTTCCTACATGCCCAGAAAGTAAAGAAGACTTTTCCCGGTAATTTTCATTTATAAGTCTAAAATTCCGATCATACATATGTTTTCATTTTCAAAAAAAAAAATATTTTAATTCTGACAAAAATTGAACATATTGTCCTTTCTGACATGTTGCAAATTTTATTTGAAAAATAAATTAAACAAGAAAGGATAATATGATGACCTGAAAGGCTAAGACAATAGGATACTAAATTGGTTGACATGTATCAATAATATGTGAAGATATAAAATGCCCCTTTGTGCCTTATATATTATTAGTTGTATTCTACCTTTAAAATATTTTGTTAGATTGCTTTTGTAAGGCAGTTTGCAGAGTTTTGCAAGATGCTTTACTAAATATTTCTGCGAAAGCTTTATAACAAGTGCATAATCATGATACATCTCCATTCCCGCAAGTCTCGACAACAAATTAACGGAATGACAGTACGTTTAAGGACTTCTTAATCCCATAATAAACCAGAGGAAGTAGTAATGGAACAAATGGTTTGGTTTTTTTTGACGAATTTGAAAAGTGAGTGATAAATGTAATTGTACCTTACTTCTGTACACCCAAAACAAAGTATTTTCCTAACAATCCTTTACCACATCAATTATTTTCGCACCTTCATAATTTGTGACTGAACATATATAGTGTAAATAATTTTCAGTAACAAAAAGCGCATTCTATTATATGGCAAATATTTATAAAAATACTAGTCGGCTGATGCCATGGTAACTTATCAACAAAACTTTATAATGAACGGTATGAATTCGTGAATTCTCCTTATTCATAAAACAATATACCCTTTTCAATTTTTAAAACAAGGCAAGCTATTAAATATTAAGTTGTTTAAAACAAGGATGTCGACAGTCTTGTTTGAAGCCAGCATTTTGCAAGTTCCATGGTCGCTACAATGACCTTATTAAGAAATGCAATCTATCACTGGGGTCAAATACTGACTTAACTTTTTTTTATACTAATTGCATTGTTAGCCCATTATTTACACACCGAAAGTTCTGGGGTCAAATACTGACTTAACTTTTTTTTATACTAATTGCATTGTTAGCCCATTATTTACACACCGAAAGTTCTAAGGATTTTTCCATTTACCCGATCAAGACAAGGAACACTGCGGGTGTGACAGATCGTCTAAGGATGCTTTTTCCTTCAAGACACCTGATCCCACCTCTGATGTTTTAGAGGTCCATATTAGCTCTGGTCCCTATTTGTATTGTTTAATAAACTTTGAGCTTGAATGCTATTTGTAATCTCCATATTTTGTGTTCAAAACTTATTTGGACAGCTCTCGCATGTATATTGCTCCTATTTAAATAAATTTCATATACAAGATAAACTTATATGAAGAACTTTATCAGTGATTAAGCTCAAAGGTCCAGTGATGTTGAGGATAGTGCATAGGAACCTCTGAATCATCAGGTGTGGATCAAGTGATATAGAAGAGTAAGCATCTCCTCTCGAGCGGTCACACCCGCTGTATATTTCTGTAATGATTGGTCAAATGAAAAAAAATCGTTCACAAATTTAAAATGATCTAAAGCATGCAAAATGGGCGTCTTTAATTTATGTTAATCAGTTTTTTCTCTCGCCAGAGAGCTGTTTACAAGGTCGCCTGATTTTTTTTGTTTTAAACATCAATCTTTGCTACACTTTCACGCAACTGCAAAGGCGCTGTCATAAAATGCAGCCACTGGTGCGGATCAGAAACCAAAATCTTTGTAGACATAGGTACAAAGGTTTCTATTACATCATAACAACAGATGTATTAACGCCCAGGGACTACATACAATTAATTTCTTAATTAAATTCGATCTTTTCTGGAACTTATAATTCGTTTCATTGCGGATTCGTGAACATTTTAAGATATATTCCTCTAAAACGCTGTTGGTATATTTTACAAATATGAGATATTTTATCCTGTTATTAATTGTGATTGCCCTGTTTGAAACTTCGCTTGGAAATCCTAAAACAAATGAGAAAAAAGAAAAGAAAGGTATGTGTTTTCGTAAATATCATGAAATCTTTAGAATATTTAATATATTTTTTTTCTATCCGAACTGTCAATATTAACATTAACACATATCATTTTCCTATCTTGTAGCACCGAGACTGGGTAAGTAAAACTTAATCAAAAATAAGTACTAACAAGTACTAATATCAAGATAGAAAGGTAAAAAAAAACCATTATAAACAAAAAGATTGACCCATTTTGTTATTTTTTGTTCTTTTTTCCCGCTAGATTTTAATAGTCTGTTTCGATACCTTATGAAGTATTTTCCATCAACTCCTGATTTTAAACAGCTCTTTGCTAAGCCACAGAAACCAGACGCACCTCCACCTTCCGAGAAAAAGACCACTGGATCCGCCGTTAAAATTAAGCAAGTTTCCCCAAACAGCGATGTAAGTTACAAGTTACAGCTACTAGTAATCTAACACTAGAATAAAACCTTTTGGCAATTATCAAACACATGAGTTAAAGGAAAAATACTAAAGAAAATTATTCAATTTGGTTGTTTTCTAGAACTAGTTCATTTATTTTTTCTAAAAAGTTCAAATGACATTAGCTTACCTTTCGTAACATTAAAAGAATTTTCAATAAGTTAACGAAAATGAGCAGGTACAGAACATTCAGTTTATAAAAGGTTACAATTTTTACTTGATATTTGTGCCAGGTTTCCTCATGCAGAGAAGAATTCCGAGATATTCCAGGACATACAATGTGTAAGAAGGACAAGGGAAAAGCTATACGCTGGGGTGTCTCTGAAACGGAAAAATTGGAAATTGTCAAACAGCACAACATGTTAAGAGGAAGCATCGAACCCCCAGCTACTGATCTCCCGGTTATGGTAATCTTTTTATTTCTCCTAAACTACCATAATGTTCTTTATCCCCCCCCCCCACTTCCTCCTATATGCTTTAACACCGATGATTTTCCGAAAGAAATCTATTAAAAGATTAGGAATGGCCAGATAGTGCTAACCTTGTGAGGCAAAATTTGTCAAAAAATTATCTTTTTACTCGACCTTTGTTTTAATGAAGTAGTTATCATTTCTAGTAAGAGGTAACTCTCATATTAGAGGGTCAATGAACCTTAATAGTCTATATCTAGCGAAGGAAAAACTTTAATAAACTTAATTCAGGGGTCATTAAATTTGTTCAGAACTTGATTTTTTTTGTTGATCCATTTGTTAATGATAATCCTACAATAGGTCTTTCCTTCAGACATTGGTGCTTGGAAGGCATTCTACGTGTTATTTAACTGATTGATGTTAGTAGCTTCATTCATCAGCACATCATGAATATGCAGAGCTAATATCAGTGGATACACGGATGATCCCTGTAGTCGAATTCTTATTGCTAGGACCAGGACCTAGCTCTTCTCACTAAATACGTAATCACTGTATACTGGGTCGTCATTCTTAATGAATATTAGCAAAATTCAGGAACCACATTGCACATAATTACATGCTTGATATTTAGTGGTTGTTAATTTCCTTTTACCATTTCATCAGAATTTAGTCATGTAATGTAATTAAAATAGCTAATTTCTAATAAAACGGAACGACCTACATTTGCTTTTAATTCTTTAACTTGGATATTTTTCCTTTACAAAGAACCGAAAGAGTTTAAGACATTCTATATATAAGAGAAGTAAAAAAGATTTGTGTCGACTTAGATAGAACCTCGGACAATAAGATTTTATAAGGATAATATTAATAAAAGAGTATACATCTACAGATCAAAATCAAGATCTTTTCAATGCTTTTTAGCTATGGGACGATCGATTGGCTGAAGTTGCCGAGAAGTGGGCAAAACAGTGTACAAACCAACACGACAAAGTCCGAACTATTCCTTGTACGTATACTAATATCTCTTAAGTACTGAAGGGCATGTTCATTCAAACTTTCGTAAATTTTCATGATTAAAGCATAAGAATAATTGATGTCCTTGTATATACTGTATATTAGCACTAGGGAGTACAACCGTTGGTCAGAATGTAGCTGGTGGACAGCCAAACTGGACAGTGGCTATTCAGATGTGGTGGGACGAAATTGAGATGTGGAAGTATGGACCGGAGCCCGATACCTATCTTGGTTTTAATGGGTGGCTTAAAGTCGGCCATTTTACACAGGTTTGACAACTGTACACTAGAATTGGTATTTAGTACAAACATTGTAATGAAAAGCTTCATCTTCAAGTTAATAATACAATAAAGAAGAAGCATCAACACAATATGCACAGAACCATATTTGATATATAAGTATACAAGGTTTAGATTCTAGTACCTTTAAGTAAATTGGTATTTATTCTTATACAGATGGCACAGAATGGTACGTACCTGGTTGGTTGCGGATATGCTTACACCGACGATGATCCTTTCCGTTACAAGAGATACTATGTCTGCAACTACGCTGCGGGGTAATGCAGCTATCTGTAATTCGTGTTTAAAAACATAATAACAGGCAAGGGTATCTTTAAAAGTTATACTTAGACTGCAAAAGTCAATGAAGTTTCTCACATATTTTTTAAAATTTATTTTGCAGACAATCAGATTTAGGCAAACCATACACACAGGGTAAACGGTGTAGCAAGTGTCCTAATTTCTGCAAAAATGGACTTTGTGGTAAGGTTAATAAGAAGAGTTTTGTATTCGATGGTTAATTTTCTAATAATGTCCATTTAATTCAATTTAACAAAAAATACAACAAACCCATTCTATTATATGCAGATTGTGGCGGCAAAAAGTGTGATAATGGCGGGAAATTAAATGTAGAAACATGTGAATGTGAATGCAAGAAATTATACACCGGACCATCATGCGAGCAACGTAAGTTTTACATATGGCAGAATAACCCCATTTTCCCTCTGTCTGTAAATCTGTTTGAACTTTTTGTGCATTCACTAAAATGTACTCTGAGGAATTGTTGTTTTTTTAGTTTCCTGTCCCGATGAGGATATGTGGGTCTGCGGGAAAACATGGACGGCTGATCTTTGTGATCATTACGCCAATGTCCCGTTTGACTGTCCCTACATGTGTGGAAAGTGCAAGTCTACAGGTATGGGTCATAGAACAACTTAATACTTATGTTATTGTTACATTTCAGTTACTTTCTAGTGAATAGAGATTAAATTACATGTATTACACTAAAACTATATAACGTTATACATGTAACATATGCAATACCTTCTATTACAGGGCTATAGCTACATACTTATATATTCAGATTATTCGTATGATTATAAAGCTAAACGTTAATTCAATATATTATATAAAAAAAAAACTTTGACATTTAATACAAGAATACATTCTAAATTCTGTTAAACTCGATTTATTATTACTGAATACTTTATTAGATTGCAAACTTGAAATCAATTAAGAAGATGACACAAGATGTGGCAATCTTAGAAGCACATCACTGGAAAAAAAAATATACAGAAGCATACAATTAACATTGATCATAAATCAATACTTCAAAATCCTGCATTGCACATTAAAGATAATCTATTTTTTTTTTTTAAAAACTATTCTTAATAGGAGCTACAGAAAAATCAATTTTCGAAATTCACACTTCTGTATTTATATTTTTTTAAACAAATCATTATACAGTTAACAGAATGTTACGGTAATAATTTGCTACTCCCTGTTAAACATTAATTTACTATGATGGAATGATATCAATGCATCTTTCAGGAAAGAAAGCAAAGAAAGCAAGCAAATATGGAGCATCTAAAACAGGAAATAAGAACGCCTTTACATCAAAACATGGATGTAAATATTCCGGAGAAAGAGCTAGTCGAGGTACATGATAAAAATGTTTGTTAATATGTGTGATGTGAAAAAATTATCTTGATAAAAAAAACTTATTTTTTCATTTAAAAATGTTAATTAATTATTTATATTCGTATCATTGTTGTAATATTCAAATTACTTGCTTGAGAAAATAATTCGTCAGCCTCACAGTTTTCAAGGAATAAAAACTTTAAGAATTTAAAAAGTTTTAATTATCCATGCACGTCTTGACTGAAGCGTTTCAAAAGTGCTTCATTATAGCAATAGCTTTGATCGTAACCTTATCTCCATTATAAGTACAACTATTTTACATAAGATGCTAATGTAACATATATATCCCTTTTTTTCTAGAGGAATGTAAAAAGAAGTACGGTAAAAATGGGAACGACATTCCCCAGTGTGGAAGTATGGGCGGATCCCTGTCCTGTAAAGAATGCGACAGATTCTCCAACGTTAGATCAGAAATGTGTCCAGTGATGTGTGGACTTTGTGATCGTAAGTATAGAGCAATGTGGTTGCTGTTGTATTGCATTTGATTTCGAAAACCATATCTCATGTCTTAAGTTTAAGCAGCCAAGATTGTAGAGCATAAATTGAATAATAATTAAATTAATGGCTTGTTTATTGTGGACGCAAAATTACTACAATGTACTTATAATCATCTTGGGGAGTTTGAGAATCTAATATTTTCCTTGACTAAATACTTACACGCGTTTTTGCGATACTTTCAGCTCCATGTGATGGGAAGGTTTGTAGTAACGGAGGAACACTCAACACAGACACGTGTGAATGTGCATGTGCCCCACCCTATGTACCCCCTACATGCGATGATGGTAGGATTTTTCTGTAGTCATGAGTAAATTCATATTATAAATCTTCTAAATCTGCAAAGAAAAGAAATTTTGACAAAAAAATCGATGCAATTTCTCTTTTTCATATTATATTGCATTGTTAAATGAAATTGAATTACTTGAATGCAAATGTTTATCAATGATTATAATTCTTGACAGCTGACTGCAGCAAGCCGGACGGGAAAAGCTGTCTTGCTTGGCCTAAGAGCTACTGTAAAAAGTATGCTAATGTTCCCGAACAGTGCCCCCAACGCTGTGGAATCTGCCCTTAGAAGTAAGACTCAGATTTACTGTGGGGATCCAAATGCAAAATTTTCTTGTTAATCAATAAATGAATTAAAATGTCTACATGCATTAAATAGACCGCCATCGATATCCATTTGTTAAAATACCCTTTTTAAATATTTTTACAGATTAATGACCAGGAATGGTGCAGAAAAGACGAGGGCTACAAACCACATTATTTTCACTTCTTTGTTTTGTATTTATTTGCACTATATTATTAAAAACATAATTCCATTTTTTAAACTTAGCAATTGAAATATTACTCTTTATCTGAAGAAGACAATTGCTTTTATATATTTATGTTGTTTAAAGGAGTAGTTTTAAAGACACGTCAAAAATGTGATTATATGTGGTATGGCTTGACCTTACAAGTATAGACCAAGCGCTTACATTCTTAGGTTCGTGAGCTAGGCTATCTAAGTTTATATGATGTACATGTATCTGAAGTTTTCAAACGCACACATATCATGCAAGAAATAAATGTGGACTCTGTGAACAAAGCCCATGGTTAAGGTACTGCAGAGTGATAAATACTAAGGTTCAATTTTAGCATCATCTTCTGCACATTTTTTCCCAAGTTTGAAAATTTCATGTTTCATAAAAAGTGATTGTTTTAATCAATAATTGTAATTGTTATAATAATATTTCAATATCTAAGCTTGGTTGACTTAACCTGTTAGCAAAGTCTTATGCTTTCTAGTTCAATACAGGCACACTTTGGAACTTGTTTTTTGTGTATCCTGTAGATAAAAAGGGGAGGAATTCAGATTCATTTACAAGTGATTTACATTTGCAGAAAACATCTAAAGAGTACAAATTACATTTCCAAATCTTCCGTTTTTTACATTTAACTTCTAAAATATTAAGGCAATTGATAAGATAATGTTTTAAACAGAGAAGTATTTGTCTGTGAAGTTAAAATTCTACCAATGACACTTCTACAATTGATTGAATGTAAATGAGTAATATTGTATAACAATCTAAAGAAATTGTTTTATTTATTCATTGTAAAGTTTTGAACAAAGTTTTAAAATAAACTTATTTCCAAATATTTATTAATCCTTTTATGTTTGCATTATAATTCAGGGGATTATATATCTTTTGAGTTATGTTTTATTTCAAACGATTTCGATAAATCTGGCAAATCGTGTTTGGTTCATAAAATTTAAATTCTTTTGAAAGTTTTGACACATTTGTATATGCTACTTCTAATATTAAAATCGTAACATGATGTTGTTTCTTAAAGATAAATATAACTCGTTTGTGGGATAGTAAAGTATTGTATACAGGTGAATTCTTGAAACGTATACTACTAAAATACAACGGGTACGTCTGAACTTTGATGTTTTTTTAATTGAAATGTGAAGATACTAAAAATGTTTTTAAACAATCGAAATTGTGGGGATTTCAAACACTGATCTCTCAAAGAAGAGATGGAGAAGCATGCATCTATTGGCCAGGTACACCAGTCTTGTGTCCCTTGTCATGATCGAGTGAAGGTAAAAACCCCAAAATAGATAAATAATCAAAAATAGACTACATGGTCTGAAAAATGATGGTCTTCCAATTTGTATGAAAGAGAACAGTCAACACTTTACCTGAGGACAGTCGACTTTCACAGACAAATTCATGGCAATCAGAATTATCAAAATGGGATAACAATGTATAATCTAACTATTTGTCAAAAGCTTGTTTCGTTTAAGAAATAATTTTTTCCTACGTACAGCATACTCTTGCAAATCGAATGAACTGGGCGAAATTAACTCACATGTGCAGTGATAATGATATATTACTGCATAAGGACGGTGTCAATAATACCAAATGAATGAAACGTATAAATTAAAGGTAAAGAAGTAAATTAAGGAAAAACAATTGTCCATTGTCCATTTTTTTTTTTGCATTTTCTCGCATCTTCTCGCAAGATAATACGTCTTAATCATCAATGATGGATTACAGAATTGCGAAAAAATAATTCTGTTAAGTTATTTAAATTCATGTTATATGTTTATTGTAGAATTCAGTGCACCTTTCACTTAAATAAATATACAAAAGAGATAAGAAATTACACATTTTTGTGAAAATGACATTTTTATTTTGTGTCTATATATATATATATATATATATACACACACACACACACACACACATGTAGAATACATTATATAATTTCATTTTGTTTATACATGTAGCGATTTTGTAATGCAGCTAACTTAAAGCTCTGATCCAATATTTTTTTCTAATTTTATTGAAATTTGCAATTTTTGGATACATAAAAATGAACATTACAACAAATATTGAACAAGATGTCTTATAATTACCCCCCTTTTAATGGGCTACCTGTCTCTCCCTAATTTCATTCATTCGTTTAAGAAATCAAAATTCAAAATTCGATGATTAATCTTATACTTACGCAATCATTTATTTCGAAATGTAATCACTCACAAGCAATGGATTGTTTATCCACTTCCAGAAAGTGCGATATAAGGTTTCTCGGTGAAATTTAATAATCTTGGGTTTTTGATAATGAAATATTTGTGCAATAAACACCGATTGACTCGATACAAGGCCCTTTTTTGCGGAAATTATCGCTTAATGATTATTTATATATAATATATTTTCTTCAATTTATTTTTTCAATATTTTTTTTACTTAACAAAAACTTTATCGTTTAGTTTCAAATGAAATTGATCTTTAAGGAGCATTTGAACCCTTTGAAACATACAGAGGTGCAGTCAGTCCACTATCTTATATATGAAAAACGCAGAAAATTGTTTTTGTTTGGAAAATCAGATTCGTTGTTTTATTTTAAAGACTGTTTGTATTTATTTATCATCAAACTTTTATTGCTGTTGAGAGGAAAGTTTTTTGTAAAGTTTCAAAAAACAAAATAGAATAGTTTTGTACATTGTCTTATTTGTATTTTATATCGACCTTTTTAAATCATCATAGACCAAATTGATAGAAATTATGAGACAGCTTTTATAATGAAAATTTCAATCAAATTGATAGAATTTATAATAGTTTTTAAGCATTGAATTAATCTTGGTAAGTGGATTGAGTAATTTTTGCACAGCAGTTGCAAATGTTTTATCTTATATACCCAGCGAGAAGATACTATCTTCTAAATTATTCAGATAAAGAAAGTGAATGTACTTTGAAATATTACATTCTCTCTCCGAACAATACGTACGTGAATATAGTTATAAACCCGCCATACAGATGACCTCAAAGACTTTTAGACCCCTTCTTTTAGTCGGAGGATATGACAAAAATTTGGTACATACATAGAGAATATTACATACTAAAATCCATATCATGTCATATCAGCTTTGATTTCAGCTGGCTTTCCAAACAACCAGTGTAGATTTCTTGTGCAATGCTAGTCCTTTTCAATCATAAGTTTTTTATGAAACATATGGAGATATCGAACAGTATTCAAGACCAAAAGTCCATGAAACAATACGAAATAGGAGCAGCACAAATACGGACCTCCAAAACATCAGATGTGGGATCAGGTGCCATGGACGAGTGAGCATCCACTGCCGACAGGTCACAAACGCCATGTGCTCCTTTTCATGATCGGGAAATAACGGAAAAATCCGTCGTCAATAAATAATTCTATATTTGCCATACTTACATCTAGTGAATATGGTATCTTTTTATACAGAATAAATATAGAATAAATTATATCTTTGCTTTTAAGCATGTGGATTACCGGTTGCAGCTATTGCAGAAAAATACATTACTTTCTTACACAGCATATTGATATAATTATTTTATGTATTTATTTTTTTTTTCATTTTAAACTGATTACTGTTTTTCAGCTCCAGCATTAATTTTCATATTATAATTTAACAAAATTAAATTCTTTTTAAACGCTAATATTAGAAAAATTTTTTATCAAAATTATATATATATATATATATATATATATATATATATATATATATATATATATATATATATATATATATATATATATATATATATATATATGAAAGCATTAACTATGATGATAATGAAATTCAAAAGAATTAGCTGTTTTAATTCTTTTTTTCTTCGTAAATATCGTTTTAGATTTTTTTAAATGCTTTGTTTTCTAGATAAAACATTAAAATCATTGTTTAAACATATATATACTTCTGTAAAGTACTTCCAGCTCATTTAACTTAATTAGAGCAAAAGCTGTTTTCAAAAATTTAACACTTGTTGAAAAAGTGAATTACATCTGCCCTCAGATTTACCTTTGTATATGGAAATGTTTTCTTTAAAACAGTGCAAGCTATTATTAGAGTTAACATTTAAAAGAACTTAATTCATCAGAGAGAGAGACAATTACGTATGTTTCCTTAACTTAAACAAAGATCACGATCCCATGCACATTCGTATTTTGTATTCAATGTGTTTAGTGGTACAGGGCTTTGTACCATACAAGTGAGACACTTCCCTGAGGGTTCCCTGAATGAGATGATGAAATGGATAACTGGTCTGTTATTGGTGGCGCTGTTACGTGACACACTATCACAGATTGCAAGCTCTTCACGTTCTCATTCATCCTCTTCTTCATCTTCATCTTCATCCTCTTCATCGAACAATCACCAAGGTAAGATTCAAAGCAATGACATTTTTAAGCAAAAATGTCACTGGGAAATATGCCCATTACGCATTTAATTTATTTGTACAGTTTTTGCACGCTTCTTGATAACAGCAGTTGCTATAGGTAAACATTAATTACCAAGACAAAATGCAATACAATTCGGTTAATGGAATGCATTTGTCATTGTTTTACACGCTTGACAATTTTTTGTATTCCTTGCCCTTTACAGAAAACTTGTTTAAAGTTAATTTGTAGCGAAGTATACCATTTCATTGTATTTTTTATTACGAGCCTCCTGTAGAGATACTTAAATTGATTTCATTTTAGTTTTATTGTGTTAGGTTTATCCAGGTTTGGTTCTTTTGGGGAACCCAATGATCCACACAATTTCGATTTGTTCGCGAATCCATCCAACTTGCAGTCAAATAGCCATTTCACCAGAGAAAACCAACTACCATCGACAAGACAGGGCAATGGAGCTTTTAAATCGGACAATTTTGGAAAAAAATTTGTGGAACATTTCGTGTCCTCTGGAAGTACAACAAATTCACAATCACCAATTTCTCAACCAATTCATAACTTACAACAGAGACACTCTTCTTTCGGAGGTCAGCAGAGAAACTCAAATCAGGGTCAACAAAATCCTCACCATCCATTTCTTCAATCTCAATCAGGAAGCTTAGTAACTCAAGATCAACCTCATCGTCTCAATCTTCAACGTCAACAAGGACCCTCAAATTTTCCAGGTCAACCTCAACATCCAATAATTCAAAGTCAACAAGGACCTTCGAATTTTCCAGGTCAATCTCACCATCCAATAATTCAAAATCAACAAGGCCCCCCGAATTTTCCAGGTCAACCTCACCATCCAATAATTCAAAATCAACAAGGCCCCCCAAATTTTCCAGGTCAACCTCACCATTCAATAACTGAAAGTCAACAAGGCCCTCCAAATTTTCAAAGTCAACCCCATGAATCAGTTCTTCAAAGTCAACAGGGATCTTCAAATTTTCAAAGTCAACTCCATGAATCAGTTCGTCAAAGTCAACAAGGACCCCCAAACTTTCAAAGTCTGGAACACTCCAAAATTCAAGGTCGACAGGGCAACCAGTTGATTCAAAGAAGACAGGATCATTCATTCTTTCAAGATCAACAAGGGTCTCCGATATCTAGTGTTCAGCATGGAAATCCTGTCTTTCGAGACCATCTAGGTCAACATGGATTTCCAGTTCAGCAAGAACATTCGATGACACTAGGTCAACAAGAGCCTCAAAACAACCAAAGTCGTCAGCGAAGTTTGTTGTTCGAAGGTGAACATGGAAATGCAATAATTCCAGGACAACCAATAATTCAAAGCCTTCAAAGTCATCAACGAATTCTGAATCAGGGTAAGCCTTTTATTGATACAGTTCAGGGACAGCAGGATTTAAAGGGACTTTTTAAACCACAGACTCATAAAATTGAAGCAAATAACCAAAGGCACCCAACTTCGCAGGGTAGTCATGCTGCTTCTGAGAGCCATTCTTTCAGCACAAGCAGTTTTGATGGATCAAGGCTGACACCTAGTGCTAATGATCATAGTTTCTTTCAAAAATCATTTTCATCAGTAAAAACAGACCAGGCGATAAAAAATAAACCAGGGCCTTTACTTACACCGCCGGTATTTCAAAGTCCCTTTACGCCATCATCAATGGGAAGACCTATTTATCCAAGAAATTTCATACTTCCCGAAAAATACAGGGTAAACGAAGCACATGGTACCGATATAAATACTGTATTTCAAACACAAAGTGAGAGAAACAAGCAGTCCTCAATTACTCAAAATTTTCCCGATGCTCCAGGAATATTTCCATCCCAGGGATTCCTTAAAGCCGAAACGCCGAAACCACAAGTGTCCAACAGCGGAACAGATACCCACACATCGCAAAGTAGTTCTTTCAGTTTCCATACAATAAATACTCCGCCGTTTGGTGAGGGTGACTTTCATCCTAAAAGAGTACAAAACCTAACAACATTCCATGGACCTGTGCAATTTAGGAACTGGGTACCTCAAACTGTGGCAGATGCATTTGACAGCGAGGTAAAAAGTTGATTTTTTCTAGAAATATCGTATCTCATGAGTTTTTTCACTTGTATTAAACCTTCGAGAAGGATTTGAAGCTCAATTTATTCAAAAGATAAATCTGAAGCCATTTTTCGGGACAGCTATCTTTTTTTTTTCATAGTTAATATTGATCGCAAACAAATTATCCCTAGCATCTTATGATTTGTGTTTTACCATGTTTTTTTTAAATCAAATATAAACATAACATTATTTCTGTATAATATTACAAACGTTAACTTACCTGAAATGATAATTGATTTTTTTTCAAGATAGTAACGTGCACTGAAGAGTATCAAAAACTTTCCAACCACACAATGTGTTATGTTGATAACCCTTTTTTGAATGTATCCGGTGTGTCAGAAGCGGAGAAGTTGGAGATAGTGAGAATTCATAATCAACTCCGAGGCAATGTACTACCAGAGGCTTCTGACATTCTTACCATGGTGAGTACTAATAGAACTATCGAAATATCCCAAAGATGAGACAAATTACTTTGCTTAAAAAAGAACATTTGGACCATATATGCACATGTTTCTAATAGAAAATAGAGAGAAGTTTCTAAATAGAAATAAAAAATATGGTTAATAAAGTAGCTTTTTCTTAATCTTAATTGAGACAAAAGAAATTTCAAAGTGATTTACTCTTGACGTATACATTTAAGTACTTAGTATATAGATGACAATTTTCCATGAGGTTGATCATGCAAAATAGCTATGACGAGTTCTCTTTCTTTCTGTGAGCAAGTCACCTTATAGCAATATATACTATATGTTCTCTGTCTTCAGAAATGGGACGATAGACTGGCCATTGTTGCTCAAAAGTGGGCGAATCAATGTAGCAGATACCATGATAAAATGAGAGCAGTGCCATGTAAGTGAAATTGTCAGTGGAATTTATTACAACCCCTATTTCATCTTCTTATTCTTCTTTTTCTGATGACATGAATTCTTATCATGAATTAGATTAAAAATGGAAATTCCTAGCTCAAAGTTCTTTATAATCTGTCTGTGTTGTTTTATCCTTGAGTCCTTTAATCAAGGAATTTGATTTTTTTTCCTTTAAAGCATTGGGAAAACATACATTAATTGGACAAAACTTGGCGGGAGGATATGCGAACTGGTCGACTGTGTTGGAAGAATGGTGGAATGAGAACCTTATTTGGCAATACGGCGTTGATCCAAAGACTTATATTCCAGAAACTATTGATGTTGCTGAAACGATTGGACACTTCGTACAGGTCATACTATTTTTAACTTAGATTTAGACAAATTTAAAGCAATGTCTCCAAATTGAATATGAACTATTTCTCAATAACATATTTCAAAACTTTTTCTTTACTATCGAAGTTTTGAGAAATAATTTGAGGATGCAAGGTTATCAACGATCTCGATTAAGGCCAAAATTTCCCAAATTATGTAACTGATTCAATAGCTTTGTTTGCAAATACAATATACATTTGTATGTGGTTAATGCAAAGACTGTCTTATGTCTTTTTTACGAATTGTTCGGCGGGTATTTTTGCACTGAATTGTCTACGATCTTTTTTTTGTTACATTACTCATTTAAGAAAATGAGGGCACGGCGGATGTTGTTGGTGGACACAGGATGCTTATTCCTTCATTGCATATGATCTACAATTTTTTTAAGGTCCATATGGGTTCTGCTCATAATTTGTATTGGTTAAATGACCATTTAAGAATGATCTCCATTAACTCACGTTTCATTGGAAATGGAGATACTGCATGAAGCTAGAAAATGATACTATGAGTTGAGCATGACAGATGAGCATCAAATCTAAATATATCTTGAAAATCTAAATATAACTTAACAAATTTATATAATTTATTTGTTTTGTAAGAACTTAAGCTTAAAAAAGAAGATCTAGAGAAAATCGAAGAATGTGCATCAAAAATATTTACAATACGTAACTATAATTTACTATTGTAACTAATTTTATATGGTCATTACACATTATACCACCTATAAAAGACTCAATGAGAAACTGAAACATATAGTAGTTTCTAAAGAAACAAAAATGCAAGTATAGGTTTTATACATGAATAGAGTATTTAATCACCAATGTCTATTATAAACTAAGCAAAAAAATGAATTACCTTTGTCTATTGATTGGTAAATCATAAATCACTTAACGGAAAACGATCTTTTTAGGCTGCATATAATGGTACCTACCTTGTTGGTTGTGGATTTGCTGAATGTGACGGGAGTCGATACGAGAAATATTACGTCTGTAACTATGCTCCAGGGTATATACTTCATTTAATTAAGGAAAACACATCATGTCTGAGAAATACACTCTTCATAATTTTCTTTCTGTCCTTCTTTTACTATAGTTATTACATATTGACCTTTTTACTGAATTATCTTCTATGTATTCTAAAGACTACGAAGCTTCACACACCCTTTCACAAAAGGAGCAAGATGCGGGGCATGTCCTCATAGGTGCAGGAATGGAAAGTGTGGTAAGATAGGGAATATCAAGTCAAATAAAACGAAGTAATGCGTATTTAAAAAGAAATTTTTCCCTTATTATTATATACGGGATATATAATAGTTACAATATTCAGAAAAAGGATATTTTTTATATTTTATTTTATTGTATGTTTTGTATTTTTGAAAATCAGATCTTATCTCAATTATTTATCATCATAAGTCATGCAACTCGTTTTTCATTCTAAACCAACAGATTGCGGGGATAGAGTGTGTAACAATGGGGGAACACTAAATACAGAGACTTGTCAATGCGAGTGTGGCTCGTTATATGCAGGACCAAACTGTGATATCCGTAAGTTTGTGTGTTTGTGATGTCAAGAGCGCACGGCAGATTTTAGGATTTTTTCCCCATAGTTCAAAGATTAGAGGCTCTTAAAAGCAGATTAGAAAATTGTACGAAACAAATTAAAAATTATAGAAAATATATAAAGATTGAATATAGAAAAAAATGGGGGGGGGGATTTGCATGCGATACGCATTTCTTTTCCAACATTTCCAAGTTCACGTCTTCTGTGTATTTCCTGCCAATAAATTAGTCCATTTCATTTCTATGAAATTCATTTCAAATAATACCGTATCGTTCATGAGCAGATATACCTGTAACAATTGTACAATGAATTTATTATGTTTTCATGATTTTCGATTTTTGAAAATTTACTTCAATAAGTTATACTTTAATGAAATTACCATTCATAAAAGTGCATAACAATCCAGTCTATAAAAATATTTTTTTTAATTTAAAATGTGATATTTAAATATCATTTTGTATAATTATACAAAATGATAAGTAAATATTACATTTTCAATCTTTTATTCTTTGTTTTGTTTGTTTGTTTGTTTTTGTTTTTGTTTTTGTTTTTTTTTTTGTTTTGTTTTGAACATATTTTATTTGCAAGGAAAGGGATAAGAAACATGTTCTAACAACTTACTAGTTCTTCTCTTAAAAACACATAGAAATTGTCATGCAAAATTTGTATCTGTTATGCATTTGAAAATTCATGTAACCTTTACACGACCATATCTTACCATCATAATAACATTTCTGTAAATTACAATAGTTAGTTATCCTCAATTCATGATCTTCAATTTAAACCATTAAAGGAATCCTCTTTTAGAACAAACGCATCATTTTTTTTTCTTATGTCTTGTACAATTTAAAAACGTCAGTTATTTACTTTGGTGCAAATATTATTATTATCCCAAATGATTTTTTTACCTCTTCTGAAGAACTGTACAACTATAATTTTGTGTTAATTTTTCATTGACAAACACAAGTATTTTTGTCATTTGATATCTCTTCAAAGCCCCTGGTGATGTATGCTGATTTTTTGTCCTAATCATCTAATTAGTTCTATAATTTTAATTCAAGAATATCTTGAAAAATTATTAGTAGGCATGTAACTGAAAAGTATGAGTACATGAACGTTGCGTATGTCAAATGTTTTTCAAATGTTGTCCACATCAATTTATATTCTACTTCTTTTCCCATTTTTAGATACAAACATTCAAATTTCTTCACTTTTCATTTAATGGAAGAGTTGTAAAACTAAACACAATTTATCTTCAACATGTACAGTATCACAATAAAGCTCAGTTATATTCAGTTAATCTGAACTCGTCATCTTTTCTCAGTGCGATGTCCATTTACCGACAATGCTGCCTGTGGAGTAGAATATCAGAAAGAACACTGTGTGGTTCTTCCTAACGCCAATCAAGAGTGTCCCTACATGTGCGGACGCTGCGCTAGAGGACACAGTATGAGATATTAACTTTAAGTATAACCCCAACGTCGTGTTTATGGCTAATATAAGACATTATATCCTAAAACGAACCTTTTTTAAATTACAAAATTTAATATTTATTTCAATTAGTAACAAATAAATATTTTTTTTAGTTCTTTGTGGCGGAAGGATATGCTACAATGGCGGATCACTCAAAGAAAACACTTGTCAATGCTCCTGCTCTCCTCCCTATACTGGCGATACATGCGAAGGTAAACAACATTTTAAAGCATAAAAAATATGAGAGAAAAAATAATTTAAGAAACCTTGCATTGATTTGTAAATGGAAATAAGGTTCAATATAGCTTTTACTTTTACATTATTCCAATCGTGCCACTCCTGGAATATTTTAGTGATTAATTTTTTTTAAAATACATATTTGGAATTCCATCAACGGTTTATTAGAAAAGAATTAATTGTTATTTAATAGTAACAAAAATGAATAAATCAGTAACAATAAATACTATGAACAATTTTGAATAAGAAGTGTTAAACCAGGCTGTTGCATTTACAAATCCATTTATGAAAATATCATGTAAATGACCTTATATTGATTTAATAAAGTACAATCAAACTAATATGAATATAAATAGAATAAATTGTTAACTGTTTTTATTTTGTAGTCAACTGTGGAGAAACGGATGATCCACATTGCCCTCGCTGGCCGGACGTTTTCTGTCATTGGAATCCGCTTATCCAAAAACAATGTCCACATAGATGTAAAATGTGCAATCAACAGTAGAATGTGGGAACAAATATGGTCAAATATAAATAGAAAAATAGCAGAGTTATCTCACTTAATTAGGTTTTTATTCTTTTGATTAAAAATTTTTCGACTTATTATTAATATTATTGGTATATACTTTTTATCGGACAGCTTTTTATCATGGACGGAATGTAAATATACTTTGTTTTATTAAGTACTATATGTAAAATTACCCGGGAGAGTTTTTAATGCGTGTAGAATTTACCCAACTATTTCTGAAACGATCTTAAAATAAAACTCACTTATACTTCCATTATTAAATAGGAAACTTGTATATAAGGAATAGTTTTTTTCACAGGCACCTGGCGTTACTTATTTTTCTTTTAATAAAAAAATATACACATACCTAATATGTTTATTATTAGGTATGTGTACACAATGTATATTTTTTTATTAAAAGAAAAATAAGTAACGTCAGGTGCCTGTGGTTTTTTATTTGAAAATAAAGAATTGTCCCAGAGACGAAAGCACATAGCACCTTACGGAGTCCTACGTGTGATGAAATATAGCTTTTGAACACTGAAAATACTAACCTTCTCAATTAAGGTATAGATTGTAATATTTACAGAAAATATTCAGAAAAAAAAACTTGTTTTGTGAACACTCAACTCATTAAATGATATCCCCGCTCATCCATATGATTATAACGGCAAAATCCATGTTTTGCTCTGGAAGACCCGAAAAACATGTTAGTGTCAAAGCCCGATCATGATAAGGAGTACACGGCGGATGCGACCGATCGGGAGCGGATGCTCACTCCTCCATGGCACCAGATCCCACCTTTGATGTTTTGTAGGTTTGTGTTTGCTCTGCTCCTAACTTGTATTGTTTTATGGACTTTTGATCTTGAATAGTGTTTGTTACAATTACACTATAAGTTTCATCAAAAAAGTAAAATATCATTATGTAATAAAGCGAGAGTCTCATTAAATCTTTCATTCAGTGGTTGCGGATAAGAGATTGGTACTTAAAAGCACAGCAGACGAACGGAATTTCGATTGCTATATTTTCGCTCACTTTCAAGCGGTTGTTATAGATAGCAACGACGGTTATAAATCATTAGCATATATCAACTCCAAGTCTTTCTAGGAAGAAAAACTTAATATAATTTAACACATACACCTTTAAATGTAAAAACCAGCATCTAATTGCAAAGTACTTATCAAATTCATTAAATCAATTCTGCCTCTTTATAATTATCATACGTGATTTTCTTTGTCTTAGTACTAATATTTATAATCCAACCACTCACTGATTGCTTGGCTTCTCAGCCGGGAAAAAATTAATTCGCATTTAGTCGATTGTTGTCTTACCAACCTAGTTTTTAGCCCCTTAATGTCAAAATATTACTTATTTTTAAAGTATACGTCACAGACATGAGTTTTAAGATAAGATTAAGACTTTAATTTATCAATTAATCACTTTAAATTTTGATATCTTGGCCTATAAATGAATGAATTTTATGCTATATGGTACTTTTAATCATAAACCCATACACCAAAGTTATGATTTACTGAAAATTAAACAGTTACATTACACACGTGAGTTATTTTAAATATCTATCTTGATTAATTAATTTAGTCCTCAAAAGACAAAACAAGAAAATTAAGGCCAAATTAATATCATTCTTCTAATAATTGAAGTCCTCAGAAAATTACGATACTTAAATTGTGCGATAATGCCCAACTTTGGTGCCAGGCACATTACTGGAAGAAGAAGAAGAAGAAGAATAAGCTTCAGTTTTACTTTTAAAATGTGTCAACAAAGCATAATATCTCTCCCTCTCTCTCTCTCTCTCTCTCTCTCTCTCTCTCTCTCTCTCTCTCTCTCTCTCTCTTTTATTAACAAAACACTTACCTTGAACATGTGTAAAGCTTGTATAATGAATCTCTTTGGATTAGAATATGAATACACTTAAACACTGCAGAACAGACAGATACATACGCACTATTTATTGCTAAATGTTTTTGTTTTTTTTTTTAATATTATTAATTATTTTTAATTGCTCCAAAATGTACATGTTTGAAGATCGTGCTTATTTACCTAAAATTGCACGTTTTAAAATATTTTTATGAGTTTAAATTATCATTTCTTCGTATCCCTCAATTACTGTTTCTAAAGATTAATTTTATCTGATACCTCAAAAATTTAAAATTCCGTAAATGATAATATCTTACAGTTGGATAATCGGTGATGCTTAGAAATATATTAGAGGTTTCTGGAAAATCGTGTTGCTTTATGCAGAAAGGACAGAAGAAAACTGTTTGCTTTCAAACAATATTTTCATAACGTGCAGTGAGTGGGCTTGTATAAAAAACAGACGATGGAAATTCTAAAGATAAGATGTGATACTAATTTTAAAATTATTGATTCATAATACATAAGTCAACTAGTGCTAATTGTAACCGGAACCGTTTTTTTTTCATTTTGGTTTTCCCTCTTTCATCAAATAAATTTATTAACTTATTTTTTCCTAATTGCTATAAAATTTTTGCATTGCACTTGACACTTGTGCATATTATTTACACTATTAAATTTTATTTTAATGTACTTACAAGGCATTTTAAAAAAAAGTATTTTTATGAGTTTTGTAATTATATGCATTTCATGCACGTGCATGATGATCCCTCAATTACTGTTTCTAAAGATTAATTTAAAGTTTTAGCCAATCAGATTGCATGCATGCGCGTGATTTCAAAATTTTAAATTCCGTAAATTTCAAAGATAAAAAACGAATGTATTGAGATTTTTGTTTCTTATAGTGCATGCGATGCTGTCCTCTTGTCTATAATACTATTTGTAATAAATTAGAGGTTACGTATATCAATTATATTGGAAAATCGCGCGCTCTTGTTGTTTTATGCAGAAAGGTCTACATAAAACTGTTTGCTTTCAAACAATATTTTCATAACGTGCATTGAGTGGGCTTAATAATAAAAACAGATGATGGAAATTCTTCTGGGGAATCAGATATTAATTAAAGATGTTATAATTGAATACCTAAAAATTTTAAATTATATCAACATTCATAATAATCAGGACGTTTATTCCTTATATGATTCTATGAAATGAATTTCATATAATGGGATTACTTATAAAATAAAAAAATATATATCACAGAATATTATTCAAAATAAATTTAAAACTTATTTTGTTGTTGATGATATTGTTTTTAATGAAGATCAACATTAATCTATATATATATATATATATATATATATATATATATATATATATATATATATATATATATATATATATATATATATATATATATAATTGTAACTTTACAAAGTAAAAATATCAACAATTCATCCAACTTCTACTTTTTTTTTTCCAAAAGAACTCCAATTTCTTATTGATTTCAAATTTTCAGGACGTTTATTCAGAATGCTTAAAATTTCAAAAAGTGAAAATTTATAGGCTTTCGTATGAAATGAATTTCATATAAAAATGGGATTAGGGGTCAAAAATTATAAAATTCAATATTTTGAAAAAAAAATATTTTGTTAAACATATAGAACATTATTCAATTAATTTAAAACTTACTTTGTTGTTGATGATATTGTTTTTAAGTGATGAAAATTGAAACAACATCAATCTATATATCTAATTGTTCAACACCTATGTCTGATTTTTACAGTGGTTTAAAAAAAGTTTGTGCGTATAATAAATTATTTTATAATCTCTCTCTCTCTCTCTCTCTCTCTCTCTCTCTCTCTCTCTCTCTCTCTCTCTCTCTCTCTCTCTCTCTCTCTCTCTCTCTCTCTCTCTCTCTCTCTCATATTCAGATATAACATAATGAACAATTTATGACAAAATAACATGCAAATATTGTAAAAGCAGTCATATGTCCCAGTTTGGGCATTTAGAATAACACATCTGTTTCTCTGACTGTTTTCCTTTCCTTTCAATTAATCACTTTCTCCTTCAATTACCATAATAATACGTAATTAATTCGTTGCACACGCTTTCTTGCAGATGCGCAAAAACTATATATGGAGGTGGGATGTCAATCACAATTATTAGATTTATCAACATTTATTGAAACCTGCATTGTTAAATGGGTATTTAATATTTTGCCCCTGGCAGCTCTAGATTAAGTTTACTTGCTTATGCGGAGTATAGGACAAATAAAGAAAATTCTTAAATCATGATGTTTTAACTAGAAATGTGTTACACGAAACACATGGAGATGACGAACAGTTTTCAACCTAAACAGTCCATTAAACAATACAAATATTGAAGCAGAGCAAAGACGGACATCTAAAACATTAGAGGTCAAATCATGTGCCATGAAGGAATGAGCATCTTCTGTCCACCGGTCACACCGCCGTATGCTCCTTGCTATGGTTGGGAAATATCAAAAATAATTCGTCGACAATTCAGTCTGTGAATAATGGCCTAACAATTAGTATGAAAAACGTCAATCACAACTTGAATTAATGAAAGAATTTATTTGCTGACAAGCATCTTTAGAATATCAACATAAGAGTTGACATAATCAGAATATTTTGAAATAAAATACATGTATGTGACATCATTCTATTTAATATTTGGATGCTATACTGAATAAAAAAACTAAGTACACTGTATGACAAACAAGATCTCTTCGGCTTTTCAACCTTTCAACTTTCGTTTGATGTACATGTATACAGGAAGTAATATTCCACTATCACTTGTATATGGTGCTTATGTCTCCAAACGCACTCAATACTCTAAAAAAAATGCTTGGAGTAAAACCAATTTGTTAACAGAGATTGGCTACAAATCCCATAAAGCCCGAAGGGCTTTAGTGGATTTTGGTTTGTCCTTTATTTATAAAATTCTGCATCATTTTTAAGTTTAACATTAAATCTGTATAACAGTGCAAATTGAAATATTCAATGATAAAACCTTATTACTTATATTTACATTTGTGACTTTTTCATACTTTATATTTGCCTGATTGTTACTTTTAACGTGTGAACATGCGTTTT